AGTGTGTGATTTGTTGTACTGGCCTTTGATCGTATCCCCATTTACACCGCTCTCCAGGATTAACATTCTTTCCGCTTTTGACTCTGCGTTTCTCTGTGCAGTCTGTAAATTCATAAGCGATGCCGTAAAATCACAGAATGGCAGAATCATAGAATGTCTTTCATTGGAATGGACCTTAAAGATCATCTAGATCAACCCTCCTTGCCATGTGCATGAACACTTTCCACTGGAATAGACTACTCAGAATGCCATCCAATGTGGCTGAGGTGGTGTTACCCAGCTCTGCATCTGAATACCACCACAGCTGCTCTCTCACTCACCCTCCTCAAAGGGAAAGGGGAGAAAATATGATGAAATGAGCTCAAGGTTTGAGATAAGGACAGAGAAATCACTCAAAAACTGTTGTTATGGACAAAACAGTCTCAGTATTCTGAGATTAAGAAAACATATTGCCTATTACTAACTAGCTAGAGAAGTGAGAAACAAAGAAAACAAACTAAAACCACTTTCTCTTGGGCCAGAGGTGTATATGAACTTGGATAGCCACCAAAGTCATATCGCTTTGGTCAGCAGAAAGCCCTGGGAACGTGATGATTAGGAGGATATAGGGAACACCAAAAGGTTGTTTTTGTAGTATAAGCGCTAACATGAAATTGCTTAACCTTGGACAGTGAGAAAATACCAAAGTGCTCATAGGCTGTACTCTGTCACTAGGAGGTTTCTATGGTATTGCGCTGTCTCAGGACAGATAGAGAAGAGCCAATAAAAAATTCTTTTCCTTTGCTTGCAACTTGCATTGGAGTCTGGGTGTTCATTGCAACTTCTTCCCCACATCCACCCTCTTCCAGCTCCTCTGAAGAAAACCTTGCCATGTAAATCCACCTAAACAGGCCTTGAATATTTCTAGGGATGGGGCTTCCACAGGTTCTCTGGGGAACCTCTTCCTCTCTGGCATCACCCCCATAGTAAACAATTTCTCCCTAATAACTTATCTAAATCTACTCTTCTTTAGTTTAAAACCATTACCCCTTGACGTACTCCAGCCCTCTGATCCTCTTTGTGGCCCTCCTTTGGACCCACTCTAACAGGTCTTTGTCTTTCTTGTGCTGGGAGCCCCAGCGCTGAATGCAGCACTCCAGTTGATGTCTTCCTGGAGCAACGTAGAGGGGGAGAATCACCTCCCACCACCTGCTGCTCACGCCTCTTTCAATGCAGCTTAGATTATGGTTGGCCGGTTGGGCTCTAAGTGCACTTTGCTTGCTCATGTTGAGTTTTTCATCAAACACCTACACCAAGTCCTTCTCTTCAGGGCTCCTCTCAACCTATTCACAGCCCAGCTCATAGTTGTGATTGGGATTGCCCTGATCCACACGAAGGACCTTGCACTTGGCCTTGTTGAACCTCATAAGACTTGCATGGGCCCACTTCTCAAGCCTGGCTAAGTCTCCATGAATGGAATCCCTTCCCTCTAATGTGTCAAACGCACCTCTTGGTATCATCAACAAACTTTCTGGGTGCCACTCAGTGCCATACTCCATGCCCCCAGGAAAGATATTAACTAATACCGGTCTCAGTACAGACCCTTGAGGGATACCAAGGGTCCATTAGCTGCATGGTCTGAGCGCGACCATGCAGCTAATTCTTTATCCACCGAGCATTCCATCTGTCAATTCCATGCCTCCCCAGCTCAGAGAGAAGGATGTTGTGCCGGATGGTGTCAAATACTTGGCACAAGTCCAGGCAGATGATGTCAATTGCTCTTTCCCTATCCACCATTGTAAAAGAACCACCAGATTTGTCAGGCACAATCACATTATAAGGGAATGTGCACAGTGGCAGCACTGTCCCCTTCTCTGTGCATGAGCCCTGCAGTGGAGCTGGTTCCCAGGCTCAGAAGGAGCCTGAGTGCAGCTGGATGGAGAAGGCACCAGCCTGGCAGAGATCTGTCCAGGTGTTGTGATTTAACCCGGCCAGCAGCTGTACTGTGTACTGTGTACCACACAGCAGCTGTCTCACCCTCCCACCCCCCTCTGTGGGATGGGGGATGGAATTGAAAAAAAAAGTGAAAGCTTGTTGGTTGAGTTAAATACAGTTGATTAGGGCAGAAAAGAAAGGAAAATAATAATAATAATGATAATGATAACAGTATTACTACTACTAATGTGTACAAAACAAGTGATGCACAGTGCAATTGCTCACCACCTGATGACTGATATCCAGCATATCCCTGAACAGCGGTCTCTGCTCCCTGGCCAGCCACTGCATATTAATTGCTCAGTGTGATGTCCTATGGTACAGAATATCCATTTGGACAGTTAAGGTCAGCTGTCCTGGTGCTGTCCCCTCACAGCTCCTGCTGTACCCCCAGCCTGCCCACTGACAGGACAGTGTAAGAAGCTGGAAAGTCCTTGGCTTATTGTAAGCACTGCTCTGAAACAATTAAAACATCAGCATGGTATCCACATTATTCTTACCCTAAATCCCAAACACAGCGCACTACCAGCTATTAGGAGGAAAATTAACTCTATCCTAGCTGAAACCAGGACACAAGGGAAGAGGCACTGAAACTCAGCTCCTCTCTCCTGAGCACTACTTTTCCTCACATTGCAACGATCACCCTCTGTTATTGTCAATGTCAGGCCCCAAAAAGGACTATATCAGGACAGTTTGGATCTTTGGTTTAATTCAGGGTAACAATATTTGGAATGCCTCAGTGTGGCTTTCCATTGAGCACCATGTTCCTGTGAGCCCTTCCCATGGGCCCTGGGCCAGCAGCTTTGGTATGGAGGGCACCTTTTGCCTGAGTAGCAGCTGGCAATGCCAGAAAGCAGCTGGCAATGCCAGAGACATCCAGTCCTGTTGCATGCTTTCATTAAGGCCACAACCATTCGGAAGAGGGCACCCATGGCCAGTTAGTGCATGGCCCCCACCAGGGCACACAGGTAGTAACAGCGTAGGTCACAACTGGGCTTATAGAATCATAAAATATCCTGAGTTGGAAGGGAACCACAAGGATCATCAAGTCCAACTCCAGGCTCCATACAGGTCTACCCAAAACTTCAGACCATATGACTGAGAGCATAGTCCAAATGCTTCTTAAACTCTGACAGGCTTGGTGCTGTGACTACATCCCTGGGGAGCCTGTTCCAGTGCGCGAGTTCTAGTTCTCTCGGTGAAGAACCTCTTCCTGATATCCAACCTGAACCTCCCCTGTCACAGCTTGACTCCATTCCCTCAGGTCCTATTGCTGGTCACCAGAGAGAATAGATCGGCACCTGCCTCTCCACTCCCCCTCATGAGGAAGCTGTAGGCTGCGATGAGGTCTCCCCTCAGCCTCCTCTTTTCCAGGCTGAATAGGCCAAGTGACCTCAGCCGCTCCTTCTAAGTCTTCCCCTCTAGGTCCTTCACCATCCAAGTATCCCTTTTCTGGACACTCTCCAATAGTTTCACATACTTTCTGTACTGTGGTGCCCAGAACTGCACATAGTACTCGAGGTGAGGCCGCACCAGCGCAGAGTAGAGCTGGACAATCACGTCCCTCGACCAACTAGCAGTGCTGTGCTTGATGCAACCCAGGATACAGTTGGCCCTTCTGGCTGCCAGGGCACACTGATGGTTCATATTCAGCTTGCTATCAACAACAACAACAACAACAACCAGATCCTTCTGTGCAGGGCCGGTCTCTGTGGGGCTGGTTCTTTGGCTTCAGAGAACATAGGCAGGCTAGAGGAAGGGGCTGACCAGAACTGCATGATGGTGCAAAGGAGCAAAGAAAAGGGTTTTCCTCTTGGGCAGGAAGCACCCCAGGAATAATGCAGGGTGGAGGCCGGCTGCCAAGGAAACAGACCTGCAGGAAAGGCTGTGGGGTGTTGGAGGCACTCAGCCGGACACAAGCCAGCAGCGCGCCCTTGCAGCAAAGGCAGCCAACGGCCTGTGCGAGCTGGAGGCATCAGGGGGTGCCCCGCAGTGCGTGGGGCCGGGCAGGTGGGGTGGGGGATGAGGTGGGGGCACAGCCACAGCCGGGCCGCGTGGGGGCGCTGCCGGTGCTTGGAAGTCCCCTTGCAGGGCCTGGAGTTAAACAGCATGGGCCCGAGCGAGCATCACAGCAGTCAGGTTTGGTTTCCTCCATCCTCTGTAGTTGTGTTTTAAGAGCTTGTTGTACAGGCTTTGTCCCAAGCCCAAATTCAGTACCTTTAGCGCTGAGATGACGTCCTGGCAATACAACAAATATCTGCACTGGACACTGGACACTCTAATGACAGCTTTTGGAGTCCTGGATTTTGAAAAAAGGACTGAGTCGTTGAGGAGTTTGCTGCACTAGTCAACGCTGTTGAAGGTCTGCCCTTGGTGCAGGATTCACTCCTGTCTGTGTGTGCAGAGGTGCTGACTGCTGAGCAGAGGGCCGTGGTGGGGACATCCTTCTCTGACAGAGTAAAAAAGTGTGGCTCTCCCTGGTGGAGGGGGCTTTGCAGCAGGCACTGTCAATGGAGATGTTTCCTTGCAGAGCCTTCCCCCTTGCCCAGGGCAGAGGTGAAGGATAACCAGACTGGCAGAGAAAGTAGGGCACCTGGGTCTAGGCACCTTTGCCTGTGCCTGGTCCTACCTCCATCCAGACAGCCCCTAGGGAAGAATAGGACAAGGGCAGCAGAAGGCATCTCTTCTCCATTGACAGCAGAGATGGATGCAGGCCTCTGTATCTGTCTGGGTTCTGGATGGCAGTGGGAAGCCACTGGGGACACTTGCCCCTTGCTGGGGCTGCCCCATTCAAGGAAGGGCAAAGAGAGGGAAGCATATAGTGGCCATGTTGGTGTCGTTTTGCCTTACCACTGACCGAGTGAAAAAACTGGTCTTCAGAAGCCTTCAGCTGACTGTGCAAGTGTGAAACTCGCAGTGCTGAACAACCTGTGCCCAGCCATAGAGAACCTGGGGCACAGCAAAGATTGGCTGGATTCCTTTCTGACTGCTTTAACCACTAGTCCATCCCTCTCTTGAGAGCCTTGCTGGGGCAGAGGTGTGCCCCAAGGAGCAGCAGAAGGAGAGCTTTGCTCCACCCTCTGTGCTGGGGTTCAGAGGCTGCTTTGAGCTGGCAGAGGGAGAACTGAATTCACAAGCTTGAGCTCCCTCTTTCCGGACACTACGTGGGCATGCTGTGAAGGCTAGAGCGTGACATGGTCCTGCTTTTCCTGGCAGCCTTGTTGGCACTGTCAGACTTTGGTGAGATGTGACATTCAGGAGGGCAAGCTAGGGGGGAGATGGCATCCCATCATTTCTGGAGGGGAGAAATTGGAGTCCTGCCTCCCTGGAAGAACTGGAAGTGCTTTCTGTAGGGAGAGCAGGGGCTGCAGATGGGTACAGGAATCAGTCTGGGAGATGTCAGGAGCAATGAGTATACAAGGATGAATGAGCTTCTGCATGTTTGCTTTGCACATGCCTGGCCATCTTATATGCATTGTTCATAGGTATGGATGGTGAAAGAGAGGTTGCTGCTAGGGAACAGAACAGAACGGTAGATAGGAGCTTGTGCCCTCCTAAATGTGCCTAGATGTGCCTGGATGTGCCATCAGCATGAATGTAATCCTTGGTAGACCTGGAAAGAAAGCTAAGTTCGGTCAAGAACTGAGATGCTACATGAGGACAAAGCAAGGACACATCACATTGTGTGAAGTATGGAGTAAATGTTGCAGTAAAAAATAATGACATGAGGTACAGAAGGAATGGCTCATCTCTTGTGCTGCATGTGGGAAGAGAGACAAACTGTTAATAGAGCTGAGGGAGAAAGAGAGCAGATGGACTCAAAGCCTGGTGAGATACTGCTAAAAAGTAGGTAAGCTGACAGACTTGGGTATGGGAATAGCATCTGCAGAAAGAAGAGTGCATGTGTACTTAGCTCAGCATTTCACATCCCATGAAAAGGGAGATGGAGAGTGGGGACAGTGAGAAATTTGGTGAAATGATAGACACAGGAGAGAGGGAGAGAAGAGATACATCTTCAAGCAGTGATGAGATGCTGTTCTGGCTTTGCAGGTCATGCACAAGACTCTGTGGTGCAGTTTGCCCAAGAAACTGCCATCCAGGTGGGACACAATGCAACTCTGCACTGCAATTTCTCCACCAGCAGCTCTCTTCCCTATATCTTCTGGTACCAGCAGCGCCTGACCCAGTCCCCTCAGTTCTTGCTGCAGGTGAGCAAGTTCAAGCCTCATGTGCATTCTGAGAGGATCTCCTCTGTGCTCTCCATGGAGAACTCCCAGGTGCTTCTCCACGTGCAAGATGCCAAGCTCCAGGACAGCGCTGTCTACCTGTGTGCACTGAGCCCACACTGGTGCCCTCAGCTTGCAGCTTTATACAGGAAGGTGCGGGTGCTGTGAGGTGCAGTTCCCTCTCATCACAGTTTGCATGGAGCTCTGAGCTGAGCCTGCCCAGCAAGGACACCTGGGGCTTGTGGTGAGCCAGGTGTGAGTGGCAGCCCCTGCTCCTGATGCCTGGCAGTGTGGTTAGCATAACCAACAGTAAGGCAAATATCCAGAATGTGGAAGGGGGCTGTTAATGTGCACCTCTGCCTCCTTGTCTCTCCTCTTCACTGGCCCCAGTGTGTGGAGACAGCCATTGTTGTGGTGAGAAAGGGCACTGGTGTTATCAAGCCCTCAGTGCTGAGTCACCACGAGGGTGTGGGGAGCAGCTATTGAATGGGGGATTAAACCCATCAGTGTTATCAATACCCAGGTTCTGGGTTGGCAGGAGATGGTGACACCTTTTTGGGAATAGGGAAGAATAACAGCACAGCAAGCCCTGTCTATAAAATCAGGCAGCAGCAATTCCTAAGTGGGAGTTAGTGCAGGACTGTTGTTGGAAGGCAAAGCCTGTGATCCCTGCTGGTCAGGGATGTATCCACCATTGTCTTTTTCCTCTGAGGACTGAGTGAGCGACTAGTGTTCATTTATGTAAAGCATGTTTCCAAGCTGTGAGTTTATCACATGGTGATAGGTGATCTGCAGAGGGTCTGTCCTGGTGACTAAATCTTATGTAACTGAGCCTCCTAAAAATGTAGTGCAACTCTACTCTGTGATAAACACTAGAAACTGTAGAAAGAACCTGCCTGTGTTCTGTAGTGTTGGGTGACAGAATTGTGAGTAGTCAGCAGGATCATTGTATTAGAATAATGAATGCTTCCCTTGACAAATGGGCCACACTGTGGAAGCATTTTCTTGGAAATGGATGGCAATATCCAAAGCAGGAAAGGCTAAGGTCAATAAGCCACCATCCAAATGCTGCAGGGAATTAACTAACTACATAGCAAGATTTGTAAGGTAAGGAAAGGGAAAAGGAAAGAAGGTGTTGGTTGTCAGATGCATTGTGGAAAATTAAGAAGGAATGGGCTGGAAGTTTAGAGGAAGAAAACAGAAGGTTGAAAAGGGAATTAGTTGACAAATAAAAATGCCTTCCGCCCATGCAGTACATCATTTTTTGGAGAAAGAATATTCACGCTGCCTGGAGGGTTTGAAAGGAACAGTTGGGGTCTGCAGGGTTTGGAGTGTCATTCCTGTGGGTGTCTGAGTCCTCCACCTTCACGATATGCTGAGGTATGGGGGAAGACAGTGCAATGGTCCCAATAGTTGCCAAGCCTGACAAGGTGTTAGTGGTGGTGATAGAGGGGGCCCAAGCATCAGGGAAGCCAAGACTGCCACGGATGTAGCCCTGGGTGGGTGCCCCCTGTGGTCTATCAGTGTGAGTGCAGGAGACCCACTGATCCCATATCCTTTTCCCTGCTGACTGCCCACCCCTACAGAATTGATTGTCCTTGTCCCCTCTGGGCTTTTAGTACCTCACACCCCATTAAAGCCAGGTTCCTGTTGCAAAAGCTAGGTTATCCTGCCAGAACAGGACACAGAATGAGACACTGGGCTGCTACACAGCATGGTTCCTCCCTTCTTTATGGGGATGTGGGAGAGAACCTGGGGTGTCATCTTGTCTCAGGGGAAATAGGAACATCCCCATGGCGCTGAAGATGCCAGAGGTAGATGCCACAAGCTCAGTGGGGAAAACTCCCCTGACATCTGCCGTTGCCAAACAGGGCGTGTGCAGAAGAGAAGGCAGTTGTAGCTGGGGAGGTGAGGACCCCATTAGGAAAGGAGATGAGCGCAGCCTCTTTCCCTGATGTCGCCCCCCCGTGCTCCCAGGGCTACTCATTGTGAAAATCCTCAATGGTTGCTCCTGCTGGAAGGGGGAGAAACCCCAAGGAGCATTTTGGGCACAGTCAGAACAAATCACTTCTCATTGCTGCATCTTCCCTTGTTCCCCCAACAGAGTAATTTCCGGCAGCTCTGTTCTCTTGGGGCTGGGAGGTGCTTTTCTGACTCTCTCTCCCGCAGCAAACAGGAAGGTCGGTCTCAGCATGCAGCGTGGGTATCTCATCCTCACTGCTTTCCTGGGGCAACTGCTGGGTAAGTGCTGGCTTTCAATCAAGGCATAAATCTTCTTTCCCCAGGAAGCTCTCATCAGCATTACCTCATTTATGTGGGGAACATATCTTGATTCACAGGGAAATGCTGTTTTCCTCCCATTTTTGACTCTGCACCACTTCTCTCAAGATGCTGTTATTCTTGGAAATGAAAAGACAGAGAGGAGAGTCCCGAATCCCATCTCCTGTTTCTCTCATCCTTTCAGTCCATTTCTCTCTGCCTTTCTCCTCTATTCCACCTACTGTAACCAGAGGAGATTGCAGCAGTCTCTGCAGTCCCACATTTCTCCCTTTCCTATGGAAAGAAGCAAGATCCTGTCCAAGTGGATACAGGGACAATTAAGCTCTTCTCTCTTGAACATTACCAGTGTGTCCAGTCTGTCTTCTGCGTGATGTGTTCCTGCCATGTCCTCCAATGTCCTCCCACTTGTCAGCACAGCCAAGGCTCCCTCCTGTCACCACTCACCTCAGCTTTGTGTGTACAAATGGGCCTTGGAGCCCCCAAGGATGACTGGGATGAGGAAGCAGGTTGAACCTTTTCCCAGAAGCTGCATAGGCCCCTCAACCTGCTGGAGGGTGTTGTGTATGTGGGTGACAGACAGTGCCCTGGTCCTCTGGGCAGAAGGAGAGCAGGCAGGAGGAGCAGCCACATAGCACAGCTCTCCTCAGGGTCCGCTCTGTCCAGGGAGCTCTGAGCTCTGCCCCAAAACCACCTTGCTGTGCCCAGGCCTTGGGATCTTTCTGCCCAGCAAAGGACAGGAGCCTTATCCCCCACAGGTCTGAATCAACTCTTGTTTGGTGGCCTGGAGGCTTCCCTGCAGAGCTATTGACCTTCTGTTTCTTCCAGAAACCATGGGACAGGTGTCTGTCACCCAGGAAGAAGGACAAGTCTCCGTGGAGCAGAGAAACACCTTCCAGACCAATTGCACGTACCAGAGCTCCAACTTTTATGGTTTGTTCTGGTACCAGCAGAAGAAGGGACAAGCCCCTCAACGGATTTCCTATCAAGCAGGAGCAGGCACCAAGCAGAACGGCCGTTTTACCACAGAGCTGAACACTTCAGATAAATCCAGCGTTCTGCAGCTGAAGGAAGTCGAGCTCTCTGACAGCGCCTTGTACCTCTGTGCTGTGAGTGACACCCTGGTGCAGGGAGCTGCCTTGGCTGAGCAACAACACCGTTGAGGGAGGGGATATGTCTGTGTAAGGCAGACCTTTGGGATGGGGCCCTCAGTTCTCCCCTGGCAGTACTACTTCCCCTGTTCACCCCAAGATCTGACAGCCAGATCCCCTTTCCCAAAGTGGCTGGTGTCTGTGGCTGTGGAGAGAGGGCTGACCCTGACTGGATGACCTGGACCTCAGTTTTAATCCTTTCCTGGGCTCCCAGAGTAAAGCAGTCTTCTGGCAACCAGGACTTGCCCAGTGGTTGCTCTCAGCCTCTCAGTCCCAGGGTGAGTAAATTCCTGCCAGCCCATGACTAAGTAGCTTGCTTCAAGCCCTAGCTATCCCAGCCCAGAGACCCCTAGAAGAAGTTCTATTTGAGATTTGCATGGTTCCTCTCTCTCTTTAATGAGTCAGTAAATGACCTGGTTTTGCATCCCAGCCACCAAGTTATCTCCAGACCTTCAGCCAGCCCATGTGCAAGGCCTGTGCCTGAGGGATTGAACAAAACACATAGAATATCCCTGATTGCCAAATGCTCAAGAGCTCTCCGTGTTCATCACAGTAAGCAATCATATCGAGATATAAATAAAGACCTACAACATGCTGGGGTCATTGCTGTCTCTTCAAGAGAGCTGGCAAAATCTATCATCCACATCTGCTGCACAGGGAGCAGTATCATAGTGACCAGCTCCCATGGTAGTAGGGGATTGCATGTCTGAGACAAGCCAGGTGTCCTGCAGGCTGCAAATGCTGAGACCAGGCAGGAGAAACATGTCTGTGCTGATGAAGCCTCCTCTGTCTTACAAACCATACTTAATGTGGTGTTTTTATGTCCTCAGACTCAAGGAAGGTCTTCTGTCTGCTTGCAAGAGCAAGAAGCAAAGCAACCCAGAAAGAAAAGTTTAGCCCAGTGATCCCCCTTGTGCCAGACAGATGCTCAGCTTAGTGGATGTTTCATTGAAGCTCAGCTCCCTGGTGCAAACACAGCAGCAGCATGCACCCACAGTTTTCTCTGCTTGCAAAGAATACTTTCCAAGATCTTCAGCTAATGGTTAAATTACCTCTAACAGTGTGGTTTGACTTTCAAAGCAAGCAACAAAGAGTAGGGCAATTAAGAAACCTATGTCCCCAGGAATTACCAGTCCTGTATTGAGTTGCAACAGCAGGACAGCCATTCCAGGGCAATGGGCCATCCCAACAAACCAGAAATGTTTGTCAGAGCTCTGCCTAGAACTCTTTCCCATAGTCTACCTCACATCTCAGCCGTGGCAGGGAAAGACCTTCACCTGGGTTAAACTGGTTACTTTTTCTTGCAGCTGCAGCTGATTTCATTCCTCTTACACCAGGAAAGACAAATAGTTTACCCCAGCACACTTTGGATCCTCCCTCTTGCCTGCATGATTGATTCCTTCTGGACATGACGAAGCTGTACCAAGCAGAGCCATACGTGGAATCCTAAGAAAACAGTGCTGTAATCAAGCAAGAACAAGGCACCCTGCTGATGGGAGCTGTTACAGATGTAACCTGTCTGTAATGAGAAAGTGCTGACATCAGATGGCAGTTAAGTACTGACAGGAAAAATGTCTGCCAGCTATGGAACTGGTCCTGAGCATCCTTGAAGTAAAGCTGAGCACTGGAGAACTTGCAGACATACTGAAGTTACCCTCAACAAAGGCAAAAGAAGAAACACAGGAACAACGTCTTTCCTGAGAAGGAGCAAAACTGTGCAGAGAGGGCTGACCCTGACTGGCCGACCTGATCCACAGCAGGCATTTTTTTTCCTCTTCCAGGGCTGCCAGATCCTGCTTGGAATCAGGACTCCCTGCAGGGGCTTGCTCTCAGCAAATTCCTGCCAGCCCATGACTAAGCAGCTTGCTTCAAGCCTTCGTCGACAGTCCGGCCTAGAGACAGCTAGAAGTTCTAACAGGGATTTACAGAGTTCTTCTCTCTCTTTAATGAGTCAGTGAATGAACTGGATTTGCATCCCAGCCACCAGGTTATCTCCAGACCTTCAGCCAGCCTGTGTGCAAAGCCTATGCCTGAGGGACAGAACAAAACACATAGAGCAACCCTGATTGCCAAAGGCCCAAAAGCACTCCATGTTCATCACAATAAGCAAGCAGAGGAAGACATAAAGACTTACAACCCCGTGGGGTCATTGATGTCTCTTCAGGGGAGCTGAGGAAATCATCCACATCTGCTGCACAGGGAGAAGTGTCATAGCGACCAGCTCCCACGGCAGTAGGGTATTGCATGATTGGGCCAAGCCGGGCATCCTGCAGGCTGCAAAAGCTTAGACTGGGCAGAAGAAAAATGTCTGTGCTGATGAAGCTTCCTCCATCTCACAAACCATGCTGAATGTAGTGTTTTGGTGTCCTCAGACATCAAAAGAGCAAGAAGCAAAGCAACCCAGAGAAAGAAAAGCTCAACCCAGGCAGCTACCAGCAGGGGGTATCAATGGGCCCTCTTTCCTCTGTGCTCTAAGTGAAGTCAGGATGACCGTCAGGCTTGTCTCAGCAGGGGTCTAATCAACCCCCTGGAATCAAAGCCCCAAGGAGTCTCTGGGGACATTAAACACCTCTGTATTAACAGTGCCTTCCCTCCTGTTCTTGCCTGGGATTATAGACTGGCAGTCTTGGTACCATATGTCCTGTACCTGCTCAGTCTCCCTGGAACCAACCATGCCTGGAGTGCTGCTCTCTTCTCCAAGGGTTTGTGTGTCCTTTCTTCCCTTAGCACAGAAGAGGCTCCTCAAGGGAAATGCCTCCATGAACAACTGCTGCAGAAACTCCCCCCACAGGGACAGGCATAGTGCCTCACTATAAAGTCAGTGGCTTAAGACAAAGGAGAAGGTGCAGAAAGAGCCTCTGCCCTGGAAATCTTCTCCCCATGCACCTCTGCACAAGGCAGCTTTTGCCATTTTCTGTTCAAAAAGCTCATGGTCCATTCAGATCCATGGGCTCTTCTCCATACCAAGGGCTGGAAGAAACAGGACAGAGACTCACCTGAGCCTGGAAGTTCCATGCAAAAAGCTTCTTTGTCTTCTGACTTCTCCCCAGAGCTCTGGTAGAACGGACCTTCCCTCAGTGGGTATGTCAAGAGAACATAACGGTGCTGGCACACAACTTCAGCAAGATTCAGATTCCCCCTGCCCACAAGGAGCAGGGGATCCCTGAGTGGGGAGAAGCATAGGAGATAATCCGTTGTTTTCTTGTACTTTAAACAGTTCTCTGTGACTTTGTCCACAACTGTATCTCCAAGGGGCAGTGCCTGAAAAAGCCTCATTTTCATCTGCCTTACTGTCATATTACTCTGGGAAGGATGAAAGGCCCTCTCCCATGCTCATCATATCCCCTGCCAATGGGGATATGAAGAAAGAAATGAATAATATGAATAAGATAAGAATATGAAGAAAGGCAATGCCCTTCTTCCTTGGTAACATGAGACCACCATGAAAAGGCTCAGGTGGAGGCAAAGGGTTGGATGCAGAAAATGTTAATGACTCTGACAAGGGAGATGGGGTCACTTCTAGAGTAGGCTGTCAGTGCAAACAGAACCAGGAGGTGCCAGAAATCTGTGCCCATCACCCATTGCAGAGATCCCACAGGACATCCATCTGCCTCCCTACAGAGGCAGAGGGGCCAGCAGGTCCCCCAGAATGGGTATGGGTGGCATTATGGCCCAGAAGAACAGAAGAGTGGGAAGATAGTGGAGAGAGTAAAAGACATGGAAGATAGGCTTTGGCCATATTTTCAGAGAGCTCCATCTCCCTTCCTTTTGAGAGGGGACACTGGATGCTCAGCCTCTCAGACATCATTGGCCAGAAGTTCTGTCCTCAGTCTGTCATCACCTTCTGGGTTCCCAGGAGTCCTCATGTGGTGTGTCACCAGTACCTTTAGCAGGGGGGACGCTATCTGCCATAGTAGTGGTTGGAAATGCCAGAAAGGTCACAGCACCCAAAGGTGATGGGGACTCTGTCACAGCTGAGGATGCTTCAATCAGCAGTGGAGATGGAGGGTCCCACAATGGTGTTCTGTGGGTAAGAACTGAGGATGGAGCCAGGCAGAGCCACGATCAAAGGAGAGGGCTGTATGATGACAATGGAGTTCTGTCACTGCCTGACACAGGACTCATTGCAGCTGCTGGCCAGTGGGATTGGGCTAGCATGGCAGGCACTGGTCATAGCAGAACATGTCAGGGGGCAGGAGGTGCAGCTGGGAGAGAGGGCAGAGAGGAAGCAGAGCACAGCGACATGTGGGGAGCAAAATGTCTTCATCAAGACATGATCCGAAAAGAGTGGCCAGGACCAACAAGGCTCCTGCATCTCTCTTAGATGACAATCCATCTCATCCAGGTCCCACATGGTCTGAGTCACACCTTTCCCAGTCGCTCTCTCATGACCACCATCACCAGGACCCATCATAACACATATTGGCATTAGTTGAAAAGTACGTGTGAAAGGGCTTCAGACACACTAGGTTCCCAAGAAGAAGGAGATGAGGGGGTCAAGGAGCAGGATTGGCTTTTCTGGTGGCCTTGCACTGGCCCAGGACCAGAGGTTGCCTCCACAGAAGTGATACTTTTCTGGGTGTTTGTGATGAATGGAAAACCTCCCACATACATATAATGATGTGGGCTGTGGAGCTGTTTCCTGGATTATGTCATACCCATTCCCTTTTAGAAGCTTCTGCTGAGTACTGGGATGGACAGGCTTTTTGAGCCAGGATTTTTGAGCCAGGACTGAGTCAGTGGTGGCAGAGGACTCAGCTCAAGTGCCAGATGGGTCCAGCACAGGCAAGTGGTGCTTGCCTGCGGCACTTTGGTGGCGTTGTATGTGGCTGCAGTAACAGGAAGGGGCCCAGCTGCTCCCAGACCTGCGATCCTTGCCTGGTCACCCAAGGGCTTCCCTGCATGTGGATGTGCCATGTCTTCCTGTCTTCCTCTTTCCCTCCCATCCAACTTCCTCCAACAGCCCTATGGGGCTGGTTTCCAGGCAGGTGGACTGCACTGTGGGGTTTCCCTTCTCTTCCTCCTAAAGCTGCCCTCTGGAGAAATGGGTTGACATCCTTGGATTCCTCTCTCTGGGCAGTCCCTGCGCATCCCCATACTGTGCTGTCCTCTCCTCTGGAGCCTTGTCCTGCTCAGAGTGCCACAGCCCTGCTCTGCCAGAAAGGTCCCCAGCATCTCCTCTGTCAGCTGCCTTTGGCCTCTGCTCCTACCCCATTGGGAATGTGTGCACACGCATGTGGAGCAGACCCCTTGTGAACCCATCAGAGGCACTGAGTGTGCACATGTACCTGATGTCTGCATGTGCACACATGCATGGCCTCATGTTCCTGTGTATGTGGTATTTGTACCTGCATTTTTCAGGGCATCTATGGAACTGTGTGTGCATGCATGCACATGCATGTTTGCATGTGTCCATGGATCTGTGTGTGAAATGTGTATATATTCTTGGTATATGCTAGTGCAATGTGTATGTAATTCTCCTGATCCTAGGCATGTGTCCAGACTGTCCCAGTACCTATAGTGTTATGTCTGTGTGGTGTGCCAGGTGCTGGTTCAGCCTCAGCCCCTGGTAATCTGAGGATATGTGTTCAGGGCTGGAGTGCTTGGGTCTGCCTGTGGAGGGTCCCAAGCTTTGGCCAAGTGCCTCCCAGCACTCATCTGTTTCTGAGGCCATCCTGCCTCCTGAAACAGGTAAAAACACAGTTCCGTGAGTCTCAGCTGGCTCCCTGGGGATGAAATAGCCTTTATTTTCAGAGAGGCCTTTGTCTGATTCTGCAGCTACTGGGAGAGTAGGGCATGCCTGGAGAGATGAGGATAAGGGAGGTGGTGACACTCGGTCTGGGGAAAATGGCTTCAACAAAGCATCACTGACACTGTAAGAGTCCTGTGACATCTAGGATGTGCAACACCATCCCAATATGGCCTTGGCATCATATCCCAAAGGAAACCTCACAAGAGATATTTCTCAGCAGCAGGCCTTCCTCGTTATTCAGGCTTAGCTGAAGTGCAGTAGACCTTTCTCCACAGCCCCATAGTATACAGGAAAGCAGGGGAATTCCATCATCACTTTCCATCAACTTAAAAATCTCTTTGAAACCTTGGCAATTAATTTCTATAAAATATTCCAATTTTTTCAGACCTACTTGGTAATTGGAAACTGCTTTGAGATAAGAGGGCAGAAACAGGGAAAAAAATGAATCTGGACTTGACAGACTGTAATTTGTAGATGACTTCTGGAAGGGTCATGAAAAAAAAGTGTGTAGATGTATACCTGGAGAAGGATGGATAGATGTTTGTATGGTTGTCTATATAGAAGGAGACTGTGAAGTAGAGAGGAAAGGTGGAGGGAGAATGAGAGTGGCAGTGATCAGGAGAGGCCGTGAGAAAAGACGCTTAGGCTAGGAAAAGTTTTTTTTTGTGGATGTTTACTACTGCTCTTATTGCAGCATAAAACTTCACTCTGACATCATCTCCTGAAATCTTAGAGCCATGGCAAAGGAGATCAGGACTTTTGGGACTGAATTCATTCTCCTGAGCTCAACAGAAAATTGCAGCTGGAACATCGCCCTTTTGATCATTATATTCTCCACCTTTCTCCTAATCCTGATGGGAATGATCTCCTCTTTGTCGCTGGGGGGAGTGCCCAGCACATGAGGATCCCAATGTACTTCTTCCTCAGCCTGCTCACCTTCTTGGAGAGCTGGTATACCATTACCATTTCTCCCAAAACACTGGAGACTTTCCATGTCTTCAGGAGAAAGAAACTTTTGTGTTTCCAGCTGCCTATTACAGTTATTTTTCCACTTCTTCTGGATATCACTAAATTTCTCATCTTCTCAATATTGAGCTCTGATTGCCACACACAAGGCATTGCATTACATCTCAGTCATGAGAAGGAAACTCTGCTTCCTCCTCTCCTTAGGAGCATGGATGCAGAGTGGATACCAGGAACACTATTGTCTGTTTCTGCTGTGGTGGTGGGCCTCTTCTGAGCCTGGCCTGGGGAGTACAATGCTAGGCGAGAACCTTGAATGTATCCTTTCTGCCCTCATCATCTGAAGTATGCTGCTTTTCATGGCAGACTCCTACATCTGCATCATCTTTGCCATTCTCCCTGTTCCATAGTCTTTCACTCACCACAAGGCATTCACTTCTTCTGCCTCCCATCCCACCACAGTTCTGATTCTTTGAAGATCTTTCTGTCAATATTTATACTTTACTAAGCAGTCCATGGCAACTGACACTAGCATGGTTCAGGCACTGAAAAAGGCTCCACAGGGAAGTGGATAAAGCATCAAGCCTTTTGGGCTTCAAGAAGTGCTTGGAGCTTCTCATCAGCCAGCAACCCCAGATCCTTCCCCTCAGAGCTGCTCTCCATACAGCCTATAGATGTGCTTGGCATTGACTGACCCAGATGCAGGACCTTACACTTGGCCTTTGTTGAACCTTATGAGGTTCGCACAGGCCCACCTCTCAAGCCTGTCAAGGTCCCTCTGAATGACATCCCTGCCCTTCAGTGTGTTGTCCGCACCACACAGCTCGGTGTCATTGGGAAGCTTGTTAAGATACACTCAATTTCACTGTCCATGTCACTGACAAAGATATTTAAGAGTATCAGTCCCAGTACTGACCCCTGAAAAACAACACTCATATCTGATCTCCCCCTGGACATTGAGCCATTTACTGCAATGTTTTGAGTGCGAACAATCAGCCAATTCCTTACCTACCACGTGGTCCATCTGTCAAATCCATGTCTCTCCATTTTAGAGACAAGAATATCATGGAAGACCAATCAAATTTTCTGACCAAGTAAAAAGTTGTTCTACATCTTTTTTATAACCCCCCTTTAAGTATTAAAAAGTTGCAGTGAGGTCTCTCAAGAGCCTTCCCATCTGTAGACTGAACAGCCCCAGCACTATCAGCCTTTCTTCATAGGGGAGGTGCTCCAGCCCTCTGATCATCTTTCCAGCCCTCCTCCAGACTCGCTCTAGCAGGTCCACATCCTTCTTGTTCTGAAGGCCCCAGACCTGGATGTAGCACTCCAAGTGGGGCCTCATGAGGATAGAGTAGAGGGGGCAATCACCTCCCTCAGCCTTATGGCCACTACTTCTTTGATACATCGAAGGAAGCAGTTGCCCTCCTGGACTGCAAGCACACACTGCTGGTTCTTGTTGAGCTTTTTGTCCACCACAATCCCCAAGTCATTCTTTGTGGGGCTGGTCTCAATGAGTATTTCTCGTAGTCTGCAATCATGTCCAGGATTGCCTCAGACCAGGTGCAGCACCCTGCATTTAGACTTGTTAAACCTCATCAGGTTCATTTGGGCCCACTTCTAAAGCTTGCCCAGGTCCCTTTGGATGGCATCCCTTCTTTCAGTTGTATAGAATAGTCCATTCAGTTTGATGTCATCTTCAGACTTGCTGAGGGAGAACTTGATCCCAAAGTCTATGCTGTTAATAAGGACATGAAACAGTAACGTTCCAACAGCAGACCTGTGAGGGACACCAAAATTTCCACCAAAGCAACAACTTTCTCCTTTGGCCATCTCTATGAAGATGGAAAGACCAGACAGGGACACCATCAGGGTTCCTGCAAATGTTTATTGAGTCTCAGGAGGGAAATTAGGTGACTCCAAGAGGAGGCCTCGAGGGCGGAGAGCAGCAGGAGCAGACAAAAATTATTCTAAGGCAGAGCTGACACAGGGGATACATCTAACTGGACGCACAAGTGGAGAGAGGATAGAAGGTCACTCCAGGCTAGTTTATGGTGACCTCACAGAGAGTTTGAAGGGGAGCAGAGGGCAACAAAGAAAAGGGAGAAAAAGAATAAGTGAGTGGAAAACAGGAAAAGTAGACATTGGGCATGTTGTCAGAGAAGCCAGGCTGGCCCCTTCCTGTCTGTCTTTACAGGACAAGTCAGCTCCTCTTAAAACAACAACATAAAGTTTGTTCTTCTGTCCATTCTTGTCCAGCAGCATGTTCTGAGTTCCCGGGGTCCTGGTCTGGGGCACTGTCTGGCATCTTTAGCAGGGGCGGCACCTGCTGCCACAGTAGCGGCTGGTAATGCAGGAGAGGTCACAGCACCCAGAGTTGATGGGGACTCCGTCACAGCTGAGGATGCTGCCAACGGCAGCAGAGGTGGAGGATCCCACAGCCGTGTTCTGCGGGAAGGAGCTGAGGATGGGGCCGGGCAGGGTCACCACCACGGGAGAGGGCTGGATGACAATGGTGGAGTTCTGGCACTGCCTGACGCAAGGCTCATTGCAACTGCTGGCCAGCGGGGTTGGGCCGCAGGGCTGGCATGGCTGGCACTGGTCGTAGCAGGACATGTCTGGTGGCAGGAGGTGAACCTGGGAGAGAGGGCAAAGAGGAAGCTCAACGTGGGCATGCGTGATGAGCAGCCTGTCACCACACTGAGAGGGAACCAAGGCACAGGCCATGCTGTGAGCTGGAGGGATTTGTGAAGGCTTCTTGGCCTCATCCTACAAGAGCCCAAAAACAGCCACCAGGACCTATCTGGGTACAACCTAGACCACAGCCCAGAAGCCACCACAGTACAGATGGCCAAGCCTGCCTCCATAGCAAACCTTCTCCTCCCTTCCCTCTCCCACAAACAGCAGCCCCAGTCCTTTTGGAGAATGACCACGACAAGAAGGGGCTTCACACTCACCTGTTGAGTCTTCACGAGAAGAAGGCCAGAGAAGTGGATAAGGGAGCACGGAGATGGGCTGGCTTTTATAGTGGGCCTTAGCTGCCCCATGTCCAGAGGCATCCCTTGAAGCAGGGACTATTTTCTGACAAGCTGCTCTTGAATGCAAAACATCCCTGCTAATAATACAGGATGTGTGTTGCCTTCCTGTGATGCTGCTGTTTTTCATTTCCTGGTTTATGCTGTGCTTTTGCCTCAGAGAAGGCAACTTTTGAGTGGCAGCAACACATATCAGTGTGGGCAGAAGACTCAACTCACATGCTGGAAGAGTCCAGTAAAGGGAAATGATGTCCGCCTGGGTGACTCCTTAGGGGCACTTTGGGACCCAGCTCCTGGCTGTGACCTACCCCACTCTGGGTACCACATGAAATCATGGACTTCACCCAAAGTACAAATGCTGCCCAGAAACTCTGCTGGGGTTGCTCCCAGGTGGGCCTCAGTTGAACGCAGACTCTGTCATGTTCATGCACATGTTCCTCTCTTGTGGGCACTTGCCTGTACTGGGGCTGCCTGGGACAGACTCAGCATTCCCCACAGCAGCCCCTAGAGTGCTGTGCTCTGCACTTGGAGCTAGAACAGCATTGTCATCACAACCATGTTGGGGCTATGGTGGAGCAGTGCTGGCACAACATCGACTCTCTCCAAGCCCCCCAAAGACAGGAGGCGGGGGGTGGACAAGACTTGGGAAAGGGACATCACCAGGGCAGCTGACCTAAACTGATTAAAGGGCTATTACAAACTGGATGATGTCATACTCAGAAGTAAAATGTGAAAGAGGAAGGAAAAGGGGGAGCTCTTATGTTCCACTCAAAAAACAGCTAGGCTTATTGAGGCTCTGCTTCCAAAGACATGGATGATCATTATTTGTTTATGGGAAGTAGAGAATAGTTGTTTTCTCTCAGTTTGCTTTCAAATGGGCTTTGCTTGTTGGTTCTTCATTTTTTTTCTCTCTTTCTTTTATTTTCCTTTAATTAAACTACCCTATCTCAACTCATAAGCCCTGTAGTTTAAATATTTTCTCCTCACATCTTCCTTTGAGGTGGGGGAATGAGAAAGCCACGTGGTGCAGTTTAAGTTGGCCATCCATTTGAAAACACCACAGCCTGTGTGCTGGATTTATGCACGTGTCTGTGGGCAGTGATTTTTGCATGATTCCACACAAGCATGCATGAGCAGGTGCATGTTTGTGTGATCTGTATGTCCCCCCTCACAAGTGAATGTGCTGATCACCTCAGGGCATTCTCCAGTGCTCAGTCCATGAGCTTCAGAGAGCAACCAGAGCAAGAAGGAACCCGAGAACAGCTCACCAACTACAGAACAAACCCAGCCCAGAAGTGCCCACAGCACATTTCAGCACATGCTGAAATGCAGCCTTCTGTGACTGTTTCTACAGCCTTTCTTCTCCTTACCCTAGGAAGTTCACCCTCTACTACTTCCAATTTCAGTCCCCAACAAGGTCCACAGCAGTTTGGATACATACTTTAATTCCAGAGTGCAGGGTTCAGAGTGTAAAAGCATGGTGGCAGTCACCCCTCCCTGACTCTCCAGGCCAGGACACATCTGCACTCCCCATAGCTAGAGAGTTCTAAAGGATGGCGTTAGCTTTATGTACAGGGAGAAAGGCTGAGGAATCCTGCACATTTCAAGAAGGCCCAGCCCTGTGTGGGTCTGCTGCTGGTGAGGTGTCAGTGGTGTGTGGGGTGGGACAGAGGTCCCCCATGGGGAAACCAATGCCACACATACGTTTGTGAATCATGGGCCTGGTGCTGAGTCATGCAGGGGCTGAAACCTGGGGCAGAAGTGGCACTGAACCAGAGAAATATGGGTCCTGGTGTTGCTGTGCTGTGGGAGGAAGGACAGATGCTGTGAGCATCACAGAGAAAGCCAAACAGACATTTGCATTGTCTATTCCCACTTCACTGGAAGATGCAAAGGAGATGAAGCTGGACTCTAGAGATGAAGTGCACTTAGACTGGGGCCAATGGGTGAAAGTTCAGAAATACTTTGTTCTAGTTAGCTATATGGAAGAAATATTTACCCTGAAGGTGGTCAAGTCTTGGAGCAGGTTACCAAGGATCTTCATCCTTGGATTACTTCAGACTTTGCCTTGACTTGATCCTGAGCAACCTGATCTGATGAGACCTGCTCTGAACACACGGTTGGAATATGTGCATGCTGGAGGTGCAACCTATGAGCATCTGGAGGGTTTCTCAGATAACCTCTTTCTGGGACTGCTCTGGAATCATGGGGCAACATGCACAGTCACCATATCTCAGCCTTGGAGCGATGCTGCTGTCAGATCAATATTTCTGTTAAATCCCAGTGTGACCCTTGAACTCATACCGATATTACTCATGACATCAAAATCTGGTGACATAGTGACCTCCATACAGGAATCACCTGAGCCAACCATGGCAGAGATCATGCAGGGCATGTGTCTGCTGTTCCCTCAGTGGAAGGGCTGGCTCCAAGAAGCCACAGACCTGAAGGGAGGAGAACACAAAGGAAAAGAAGAGAAGGAGGTAGGTGGTAGGATGGAAGGAGAGACATGGAACATATTTTGAGAAATCTCAAGGTAGCCCCTGGACTGGCTCCTGCCAATGTTTGCCAGAGGAGGTGAGGAAGGTCAGTCATTCTGAAAGCAATGGCCTGAAGCTTCATCGTTCTGATCATTCTGATGAATTCTGATGAATCATTCTGATCATTTTGAGGTCATTCTGATATCATCTCCTGAAATCTTAGAGCCATGGTAAAGGAGAACAGCTCCCGTTCTCACTGCTATGTCTCAGTGGGGCCTAGGATTTCTGCAACCTCAGAGGGTCTTTTCTGGAGCAAGTGGATTTGTGGCACCTATGGGGGCTCTGAGTTCCCAGACCTGAAGAAAACTGATCCATGCTTGGGGAAAATAAACCAAGACCAAGCAGCCCAGACGTGGTGCCTGTGAACAGGTGGTAGAGGAGAGGGGAAAATGGAGTAGAGGCAGAGGGACATTTCCAAGACAATTAACCGTTCCCAGTTTCTGCAATCCTTGGGGATCCTTTGGGATCATCTTTGTCTGAGTCTCTGTCCCCAGAACAGCTCCAACAAAAGCAAGAGCAACAGTATTCCCCAAGATCTGGGACCTCTAAGATCAAGGGACTGTGTCTAGGTGGAGATATCACAAGTCAAGGGCTGGTGTCCATTGGCTGTGGAGGAACTAGAGATGTCTTCCTCAGAATCACAGAATCACAGAATCACAGAATTTCTAGGTTGGAAGAGACCTCAAGATCATCGAGTCCAACCTCTAACCTAACACTAACAGTCCCCACTAAACCATATCACTAAGCTCTACATCTAAACGTCTTTTAAAGACTTCCAGGGATGGTGACTCCACCACCTCCCTGGGCAGCCCGTTCCAGTGCCTAACAACCCTTTCAGTAAAGAAATTCTTCCTAACGTCTAACCTAAAACTCCCCTGGCGTAACTTTAGCCCATTCCCCCTCGTCCTGTCACGAGGCACATGGGAGAACAGGCCAACCCCCACCTCGCTACAGCCTCCTTTAATGTACTTATACAGAGCAATAAGGTCACCCCTGAGCCTCCTCTTCTCTAGGCTGAACAAGCCCAGCTCCTTCAGCCGCTCCTCATAGGACTTGCTCTCCAGGCCCCTCACCAGCTTTGTCGCCCTTCTCTGGACTCTTTCGAGCACCTCGATGTCCTTCTTGTAGCGAGGGGCCCGTCAGCTTCAAGAGACAGTGCCTGAAAGATGAATTGCTGCAGTACGTCCCACCCTCCAATGCCCAAAAGAGAGAGGTAGTGCCCCCAGATAAATCCCACCAGAAAAATAGCTTTCTCCCCTGTCCATTTCTGCAGATGGAAAGATCAGACTAGAACATACTCAGGGTTGCTGCAAATGTTTATTGAGTCTCAGGAGGGAAATGAGGTGACTCCAAGATGAAGTCCCCACAACACAGCGCAGGACGAGCAGACAAAAATCTGTTCAACTTTTCCTTTGGCACAGTTGCCCCATCTACCTGGCCCATGTATGGGGACAGGCTAGCAGGTCTCTCCAGGCTAGTTTCTGGGGGCCTCACAGAGAGCTTGAAGGGGAGCAGAGGGCAACAAAGAAAAGAGAGAAACAGAATGAGTAGGAAACAAAAAAGGTAAACATTAGCCATGTTGTCAGAGAAGCCAGACTGGCCCCTTCCTGTCTGACATTACAAGACAAGCCAGAGATGGTCAGGTCCTCTTAAAACAACAGCACAAAGTTTGTTCTTCCATACATTTTTGTCCAGCAGTATGTTCTGAGTTCCCGGGGTCCTGGTCTGGGGCACTGTCTGGCATCTTTAGCAGGGGCGGCACCTGCTGCCACAGTAGCGGCTGGTAATGCAGGAGAGGTCACAGCACCCAGAGTTGATGGGGACGCCGTCACAGCTGAGGATGCTGCCAACGGCAGCAGAGGTGGAGGATCCCACAGCCGTGTTCTGCGGGAAGGAGCTGAGGATGGGGCCGGGCAGGGTCACCACCACGGGAGAGGGCTGGATGACAATGGTGGAGTTCTGGCACTGCCTGACGCAGGGCTCGTTGCAGCTGCTGGCCAGCGGGGTCGGGCCACAGGGCTGGCATGGCCGGCACTGGTCGTAGCAGGACATGTCTGGTGGCAGGAGGTGAACCTGGGAGAGAGGGCAAAGAGGAAGCTCAACGTGGGCATGCGTGATGAGCAGCCTGTCACCACACCAAGAGGGAACTGCACAGTCAGGGCTTTGAGTTGGAGTCTGTGCAGGGATATACCAATGCTTCTTGGCCTCATCCTGCCAGGGCCCAAAAAGAGCCACCAAAACTTATCTGTTACAGCCTAGACCCTAGCACTGGAGCCATCATAGTAAAGGTCCAGTCTTCCTCCATGACAAAACTTCTAACTGCTTTCCTCTACCACTACCAGCAGCCCCAAGATTTGGCATGCAACACAGCTGATAGCAGCTGAGAGGTCCATAAATTTGAGACCTGCCTTTGGACTATGAGGGGGACAAGAAGGGGCTTCACACTCACCTGGATCCCAACAAGAAGAAGGCCAGAGAAGTGGATGAGAGAGCACAGAGCTGGGCTGGCTTTTATAGTGGGCCTTAGCTGCCCCATGTCCAGAGGCATCCCTTGAAGCAGGGACTATTTTCTGACAAGCTGCTCTTGAATGCAAAACATCCCACCTAATGATACGGGATGTGTGTTGCCTTCCTGTGATGCTATTCTTAATTTCCTGCTTTATGCCCTTCCCCAGAGAAGGCAACTTCTGAGTGATGGGTAGGGAGGCCCAAGTATTTCCAGGCAACACATGTCAGTGTGGGCAGAAGACTCAGCTCACGTGCTGGAAGAGTCCAGTAAAGGCAAATGATGTCAGTCTGAGTGACTCCCTAGGGACTCTCTGAGGCCCTTTTGGCTACAGGTGACCCAGCTCCTGCCTGTGACCCTACCCCTGCTGACACTGCCCTCAGGGAAAACCTGCTGGCCTGTTTTGCCTCCTCCTGCTCTGACCCAGGGATGTCTGTATGAGGGGGGCTTGCTTGTTCAGGGCCTTTCTGGATCTCAGAAGAAAGGCCCAACAGGAAATTGTGTGTTTTATTTAGAAAGAACAAGAATAGAAATGTAGAAAGCAACTAAATCTTTCCTGTGCAGGTGACCTTACTTTTTTGCAGCATCAGAGAGAGCAAGGTGGATTTTAACAAGACACAGAGTGCAGGTCCTGTCTGTAGAGACTTCTTTCTTCTCTCCCATACTTTCCATTTTTTTGTTTAAAAAAACAGATAAATAAATCATACAACTTCTACTTGTAAGATGAAAGCTTATGTCTCTCTTGACACCAACCAGTGCTCACCATGGTGTACTCTAGCACATTCCTTACTGCTGCTACTCAGACTAACAAATGGGTTTCTTAGCGCTTATTAGCAAAGCCCAAGAAAGCTGTCATTGTCTTGCCAAGAACTCTGTCTCCAGTGCCTTCTGCAAGGCTCCCAGTCCATCTCCCTTCTCTGTGCAGTCTCTCTGGGTACCTTTTCAAACCATGTACTTCGTCTAAATGCTGTTCAGAAACTGCTGGGCTTGTTTTCTGATGGGGTCTCAGATGAGTGCACACTGTGTCATGTTCACACACACGTTCCTCGCTTGTGTGCAGTTGCCTGAACTGGGGCTGCCTGGGATGAAGTTAACTTTCCCCAGAGCAGCCCGTAGAGTGCTGTGCTCTGCACTTGGAGCTAGCACTGCCATTGCATAAATGTTTGGGCTACTGTGGAGCAGTGCTGGCACAGCATCAAGACTCTCTCCAAGCTCCAGATAGCACAGGTAGGCATCCAGATGGGCCTTGAATATCTCCAGAGAAGGAGACTCCACAACCTCCCTGGGCAGCCAGTGCTCTGTCACCCTCACTGTGAAGAAGTTCTTTCTCATGTTGGTGCAACACTCTCTCTGTTTTATCTTGTGGCCATTACCCCTTGTCCTGTCCCCACAAACCACAGAAAAGAGGTTGGCCAAGTCCCTCTGTCTCCCACACCTCAGGCATTTATACACATTGATGAGATCCCCTCTCAGTCTTCTTTTCTCCAGGCTGAACAAACCCAGGTATCTCAGCCTTTCCACATAGGGAAGATGCTCCAGACCCTGTATCATCTTTGTGGCCCTCCTCTGGACCCTTTCCAGGAGATCCTTGTCTTTTTTGTACCGGGGAGCCCAGAACTGGACATAGTACTCCAGGTGAGGCCTGACCAGGGCAGAGCAGAGGGGGAGGATCACCTCCCTTGACCTGCTTCCCACGCTCCTTTTTATGCATGCCAAGACCCCATTGGCCTTCTTGGCCACAGGGGCACACTGCTGGCTCATAGTCAACCTGTCGTCCACCAGGACCCCCAGGTCCTTCTCCTCACAGCTCCTCTCCAGCAGATCATCCCCCAGACTGTACTGATACATACATTTTTTCCTTCCCAGTTGCAGGTCTCTACACTTGCTCTTTTTAAACTTCATTTGGTTTCTTCCTGCCCAGTTCTCCAGCCTGCCCATGTCTCACTGAATGGCAGCACAGCCTTCCGGTGTGTCGGCCACTCCTCCCAGCTTTGTATCATTGGCATACTTGCTGAGGGTGGACACTATTCCCTCATCAGGGTCGTTGATGTTATGCAGCTGGCCCCTGCTGAGAGCTTCTGGACTGCTGTGCTCCTTGGCTACAATACCACTAACAGTTTTCCAGACGACTTCCTGTCTTCCTTGAGCTCCTACAGGGTGCTCTTGTGGTCTCCCTCTGAATGTAGGCCTATGAGGAGACACAAGATACTGTCCACTCACTCTCACTTAGCTGTGGTTGTGTTGTGCCTGGGACCATACTCCCTCCTCTATACCTACCCCGTTGCCAAGGTCTCCCTCAACAAAGTGGTGTCCATTTTCTCCAGGGCTGTGATATACCTGCTCCATACACCAACCTACAGCCTAAGGTCCCAGAGGCTGAAGGAAGCCATGGGAAAACTGAGAAACAGAGGTTTGTTTGTTTTGTATGCTGTGATTTATCTCTGCTTTCAGTACCACAGTGTTCCTCCATGCGCATCCACAATGGAGGACTGGGGGCAGCTGCCTCACTGCTTCTACAGCCCTGATTTCGTTTCATACCTTCCAGCTTGCTTTACTTTCTTTCTTTCTTTCTTTCTTTCTTTCTTTCTTTCTTTCTTTCTTTCTTTCTTTCTTTCTTTCTTTCTTTCTTTCTTTCTTTCTTTCTTTCTTTCTTATCTTCCTTCTTTCCTTCCCTAGAAGCAGCCCATCAGCATTTGGGAGGGGGATAGAGAGAAAGAACAGCAGGAAGCACAAAAAAACACACAGGGTCACAATCCTGACCAAGAGACGATGAGAGAGGCAGTGAGGAGACCAAATGTGGACAGTTGCACCACTTGTAGTGGGTATATGAGGCTGTGACTGAGTTTATGCCAGTGAGGTTATCAGATTGGGGACCTTGTCAATCGGGATGCTAAGAAAAGACAAACCTCACCATTTACACCAGTTACTGGCCTATCACAAACCCACAGGCACCACTGCCAGGAAGATCAACTTGGGCCATGTAACTGTTACAGCTGTGGGCCAGTACACAGGCTGGAATGGGTGCAGGACAGACCTATACAAACCTATGAGGGGATGTGCAGGGCAAGGGGAACTGCAAGGAGCACACAAGGGCAGATAGAGCAGGGTGCAAAAGGGGCCACTCCATGTACTTGTGCAGCTGGACCTGTACCTGAACACCACCATCTGTCCTGTCCTCTTCTGGAATCTTTCCTTACCTCTGCGTAATCTCGCTTTGTCCCATGCACACGTGCTGCAAGAAGAAAGTGCGAGATCCTGGTGGAGCAGCAGGAGTAGGTTTGGTGCCAGCTGCTGGAGTAAGGCTTGGCATGAGGACACCCCTTGCCTGTGCTATCAGCGGCTGGAGCCAGGGGGTCCCCATGAAGCTCCTGGAGCAGGGAAACGGGGTCTCAGCCTCCAGGCAAATGTGTCAAGAGTGGTTTGGGCCCCCAAAAGCAGCTACTGTGAATATCGGTCTGGGTGTATATTCCTCAAATGGGGTGTGCATGTCCCTGTCTGTGTGTCTCACAGATATGTGCTCAGCTTCAATAACAGTGGAGCCTGTAGTGGGGAAAGAGGCAGCCACAGACCTCAGCCTGGACAGAGACTTTCTCCCCGCGACGCAAGCTGGTGGGGCCCCAGGGCTCAGGTTGCTAGTTTCAGCACCATGCACCTTTGCGCTGATGCTGGGACTGCAGCCACAGATGGGTGACAGTCGCTTAGCAGTGCCACGTTGCCCTGATCAGGCCGGCCCCCTACCCTCTGCGTGCCCCTCCTGCTGGGGACGCTGCAGACGGGCAGCTGCTTTCTCACCACCCTCTCTTCGCCTCCTCTGCCCTCTCCATCTTCTCCTCACCCTATACTCCGCTACATCTCTGTACTACTCCCACTTCCTCTCCTCTCCCCTCTCCTCTCCCGTGCCGAAGGAGCTGCCTCAGCCTTTCCCCGCACGCCTCCACGCCTCCGCGTCCCGGGCTGGGCTGCAGGACGGGCAGAGACCCGCGGGCAGCAGCCGAAGCCCTGCCCGCCCACAGGCGCCCAGCACTCGCAGCCCGGGCCAGCCCCCGAGCGGCCCCGGGGCGGAGCTGGCGGCGCCGGGCGGCGGCGGCGGGGAGGAGGCGCCGCGGGCGGAGCAGAGCCGGGGCTGGCGGGGGCAGCGCGGCGCGGGCGGCGGAGCGGCGGGATGCGGCAGGGCCGGGCCGCAGGGCTGGCGGCGCTGGCCGCGGTGCTCCTGGGTGCGCGGGGCTGCCGGCGCCGGGGACGGGACGGGACGGGACGGGACGGGACGGGACGGGGCTGCCCTCGCTTCTGGCCCGCCGGCTTCTTACGGACCTCGCTCCCCTCTGGCCTCCCTCTGCAGCCATCCCGCCTGCCTCCAGCGAGCTCAGCCGGCCGTTGCCTCCCACCTTGCCTTGCTCCCTGCCTCCCTCCTCTCCTTTCGGCACACCCCCACTCATTGCTGCCTGCTTCCCTTCTTCTCCTGGCTCGGACTCTCCTCCCAAACAGTCCTGCTCCGACTTAGTCCCCTAATACCATTCCCAGTGAAATGCCTTTGTGTGCTTTCTATTGAGGGAATGCTCCCATCAGCCGTCAGCCGTCAGCCATTTTCTTCCCTTTCCCCCTGCATAACATTTTCGGTGCAGCAAAGCCATTTGCTGAGTTTTCTCCTTCGTTTTGTTCTTGGCAGTGGCTGTGTGCAGAGCCCAGGTGCAGCAGGAGCCGTGGGCAGAGACCAGGGAGGGCACCGGCATCAACATCACCTGCTCACACCCCAACATGCAGACTGGTGACTACATCCACTGGTACCGCCATCTCCCGGGCCAAGGACCTACATTCCTAGTGTTCGGTACTAAAGGCTCCAATGCACTGAGGGACCTGCCGGGGCGGCTCGTGGTGGCAGCAGACCGCCGGTCCAGCGCCCTGTGGCTCACCGATCCCCGTCTTCGGGACGCGGCGGTGTATTACTGCGCCCTGAGAGCCACGGGGAGAGGAGCCGGGGCTGCGGCCGTGCAGGAACCGTGGCGGGCGGGGCCGGGCGTGTGTGGCGGGGGCGAGGCAGGGGCACAGCCCCCAGGGGGCGCTGCTGCTCTGCCGGCCGGGGCGGTCTTGTGCTACACCCGCGGAGATTCCCCCGCCAGTCCAGCCCTGGCCCGGACCGATCCTGCTGAGGCCCATTAGTTCTTCCTGGTAGGTCGCTGGGGGTCTGATGTGGGTCACACCCAGCTAGGTGTGAGGGGGCAGTATGGCACACCCAGCGTTGTTGGAGGGGCATACCTGACTGCATGAGCTGTGTGTAGCACCAGAGAGACCTCCACATAGTTCTGCTCCCACTGCTTCTTTCAAGTCACTAACACATTGCAGAGAGAGAGGCCTGTAAATCAACAGGTGTGGAAGTTCGGCACAGGGCTCACAGTTCCTTTTCAGGGTGCTCCCAGACATGCAGAGATCCCTCTTCTTCCACTTTCCCCTTCTCCCCTCTGTACTTCCCTTGCTGGAGAAAGTCCTCAAACCCAACAGCCAGCCTTGCTGACCCATGTACTGCAGATACATGCTTGCAAAGCTCTTTCCTTGATATAGTTGAGTCTCCCACCTCCCCTGTTCCTTACTTGCTTTGCCTGCACTTGCCTGCTCCAGTGAGTCTGGCCCCAAAGCCCTCTTGGGAAACCCAAAGGCTTCAGCTCTCAGGGACCCCTGAAGGAAGAACCCTGCAAGCCCTGCAGACTGATGCTGTCCATGCCAAGCCTTCCAGCCTGTGTCAGGTTCCTGCCAACAGATAACCAAATAGACCTCAAGGAGCCACTGACTGTAATCTTTTGCTTCTTTGCCTCACGATCCCTGAGGGCTTGTCTTCCATACCAGAAGCCACTTTTGCAGAAGCTCTTCTTCAGTGAATACAAGCAACACGTTAACTACACTTCCAACAAACTGCTCTTCTTCCTTCAGACCCAATCTCAGCTCCTCCATGTCCACTTTGATCAGCCACCTTTAGCTATGTAAAATCTTTTTTCTCCATGGATGCCCCACTACTTCACTGGCCTTTCCCCCAATGCTACATTCTCCCTGGACAGCTCAGGAGGGCATATGTGGAGGGGAGAAACATGTACAAACAAGGCTGGGATGCAGAAATCTTTAATGAGTGTAGAGAGGAAAAGAAGGTCACTCTGAGCAGAGGCCCCTCAGTGCAGGGATCACCAGGGCCAACACAGAGGCAGTGTCCCTTGCCTATGGTGGAGTTCATGCAGGCAAGTGTCTGCTGTTCCTGCAGTGGAAGGGCTATCTCTGAGAATCCCCACAGCCCAAGGGAGCAGGAGAACACAAAGAAAAGGGAGAGAAGGAGGTAGGTGGAGGGATGGAAGGAGAGACATGGGCCATGTTTTCAGAAAACTTGGGATAGCCCCTGATCTGGCTTCTGCCAATGTTTGCCAGAGGAGGTGAGGAAGGTCAGTCATTCTGAAAGCAATAGCCTGAAGATTCCTCCTTTGTCCAGCAAGTTTTCTCCAATACTTCCTTGGAGAAAAAAAACAGGGCCATGGGCAGTCGTTTTAGCAGGGCAGGCACCTTCTGCCACAGTAGCGGCTGGAAATGCCAGAGAGGTCACAGCAGCCGGAGGTGATGGGGACTCCGTCACAGCTGAGGATGCTGCCAACAGCAGCGGAGGTGGAGGATCCCACAACGGTGTTCTGCGGGAAGGAGCTGAGGATGGGGCCGGGCAGGGTCACCACCACGGGAGAGGGCTCAATGACGACGGTGGAGTTCTGGCACTGCCTGACGCAGGGCTCGTTGCAGCTGCTGGCCAGTGGGGTTGGGCCACAGGGCCGGCATGGCAGGCACTGGTCATAGCAGGACATGTTTTGGGGCTGGAGATGCACCTGGGAAAGATGGTAGAGAGGAAGCAGAGCACATGGGTAGGTGAGGAGCAGCCCGGTTATCCCACCAGTTGCATGGGCAACTGGTGAGGGTGGATGTGGAGGCTGTGCCAGGAATCTCATGGTCTTGAGGCTCACGGTCTCATCGCTTTGTCCTGAAAGGGCCTTTCAAAGAGCAGCCTGATACAATGCAACAGTCATGCACATAATCCAAAAAGTGCCTCAGCACCATGTCCCAGCCTCTCTCTACACAGAACATCTCTCCCCCCCTCTCCCATGGGAAGGAACTCCAAGGCCCAGCATTGCACTGAACCACCACCAGATGAGATGTCTATTGATGCAAGATCCCTTCCGTTTTACAAGAGGAGAGAGGGCTTCAGACTCACCTGGTTCCCAAGGAGAATGAGGCGAGAGAATTGGATAAGAGAGCAGGGAGCTGGGCTGCCTTTTATACGGTTACTTCACTGCTGCAGGCCCAGAGGCACCCTTGGCAGAGGTAACAATTTTCTGACAAGCTCATCTTGAATGCAAACCATCCCAATAAATGATATGGGCTGTGCGCTGGTGTCCTGCACTGCTGCCTTTTCATTTTCAGATTTAGGCCATGGATGTTCCCCAGTGACAGTTTCTTTAGAGTGCTGGGATGGAATGTCCAAGGATTTCTAGGGCAGGAATGCATCAGTGAGGGCAGAAGACTCACCGGAAGTGCTGGACAGGTCCCAGGCAGTCAGATGATGTCTGTCTTGGTCACTCTATTGGGGTTGTTTGAAGTTCCATTCTGAAGAAGAAGCTCCCATGAGCTTCAGTTGGATTCCAAACCGTGTCTGTGAATGAGGACATGCCATATCCTTCCCTTCCTTTCCTCGTCAACTCACTCTGATGGTCCCTTGTTGCCTCCCTAGGTGTGTGATTTGTTCTACTGGCTTTTGACCTCATCCACGTTAGTAAAGAATTTCTTCCTAATATCTCATCTAAATTGTCTCGCTTTTAGTTTTAAACCATTATCCCCTGACATATTCCAGTCCTCTGATTATCTTCATGGCTCTCTTCTGGACCCATCCTAACAGGTCTATATCTTTCCTATGCTGAGGGGCCCAAGGCTGAGCACAGCACTCCAGGCAGGGTCTCACTGAAGTGGAGCAGAGGCCGTGAATCACCTCCCTCCACCTTTTGGTCATGCTTCTGTCTAGGCAGCCAAGCATGGAAACAAAGCTTCTTTCCTTGGCTAAATATTCTCTTCAATTCAGCTCTCCTAACTTGCTCTTCAGACAATTTCTCTGTATTCTTTCCAGGTTGCATGAGGAGGCTCATAGTCTTCACCGCTTTGTCCTGACAAGGCCATTCAAAGAGCTGCCTGATGCAATGAGACAATCAGGTAGTGCATAATCCAAAAGGCTGCCTCAGTAGCATGTGCCAGCCTCTCTCTACACAGAACTTCTCTCTTCACCTCTCTTCTGTGGCAAGGAGCTACAAGTCCCAGCACAGCACTAAACCACCATCAGATGAGATGTCTATTATTGCAAGATCCCTTTTTCTTCGGAAGAGGAGTATATGGGGCTTCATTTCTGTCTTCCAATTCAATTCTGTCTTCCATTAAGCTCTCTTAACATGATTCCTAACTTGCCCCATCAGACTATGTCTCTGTATTCTTTCCAGATTACCTGTCTATGCTCCCACCCTCTATGGCCTTTTCTGTCATGCTTGAGTTCAGCCAATTGCTCCATGTTCATCCACGCAGGTATCCTGGTATTTTGCTTGACTCCCTCTATGTTGGGATGCATCGCTCCAGAGCATGGAGGAGGTGATCCTTGAATATTAACCAGCCTCCTTGGGACCATCTCCCCTTCAGGGCTTTATATCATGGTACACTACCAAGAAGATAGGTGCCTGAGCAGGACAAAGTCTGCTCTCCAGAAGTCCAGGGCAGCAAGTCTGTTGTGCTTCCTCCTTGCTGTGCTCAGGATCCTCAATTCCACCATTTCACTGTCACTGCAGCCCTGGCTACCCTTGAGTTTCACAGTCCCACCAGCCCCAGTTGCTGTGAGAACAATATCTAGAATAGCACCTCTCTTTGTAGGCTCACCTTGTGCACTCACCTGAGTGCCTGGTTGCTTGTGTTCACACATCTGCTCTTGTCTTGTGACAGCCACTGTGCAGCTGACATTGTGTGAATGCACGTGCATGCACATATTTGTGCAGGACTCCATGCAGGTATAGATGAGCACGTGCGTGTGTCCTTGTTTCCCCTTTATCACAAGGGTATGTGCACTTGGCAGCACTCTCCCCTGCTCTGTGCATGAGTTCTGCAGAGAAGCAGGTTCCCGGGCTCAGAAGGAGCCTGAGAGCAGCTGAATGGAGACGGCACCAGCCTGGCAGAGATGTGTGCAGGGAAGAGGCACTGAAACACAGCTCCTTTCTCCTGAGCCCTCCTTTTCCTCACGCTGCAACAATCACCCTCTGTTCCTGCAGAATTCAGGCCTCAACAAGGACCGTATCAGTTTGGATCCTTGGTATAGGAGAAGCAGACTGCTGTGAGGCTCCTGATGGTGCCTATCAGTCATGGATTTCCACCCCCTGGCCACTGCTAGGTCCTCCTGGGAGTCAGTGCTGGCGCCAGGGCCATCTCCTCACACCCGTCTATAAAGGCCTGCCAGCATTGTTCTAGAACTGCATAGCAGAGGGGACAGATTCCCATCCAGCCCATGTCAGGCTGGTTCTCCTGAAGGCAAAGGGGCAGCTGTCACTCCTATGCATGTGGGATATCACAGCAAAGGGATCACACAGTGCCAAGAGTAAACTGATCCCCTCCTTGCACCAGATGAATGCTCAGCATTTGGAGTGGTTCACTATGGCTGCCCATCAAGCACAGTGTTCATAGTTCCTGGGAGCCCTTCCCACACGCCCTGCCCAGCACCTTTGACATGGAGGGCACCTTCTGCCCGAGTAGCAGCTGACAATGCCAGAGACATCCAGTCCTGCAGAATGCTTTCATTAAGGCCACAAGTAGTCGGAAGGAAGGCACCCTTTGTCAGTTTGTGCATGGTCCCCAACCAGGGCACACAGGTGGTGACTGCGTAGGTCACAAATGTGCTGTGGAGAACACAGGCTGGCTGGAGGAAGGGGCTGACCAGAACCTCATTTTGGTGCAAAGGAGCAAAGAAAAGGATTTTCCTCTTGGGTAGGAAGCACCCCCAGAGTAATTCAGGATGGGGGCTGGCTGCCAAGGAAGCAGACCCTCAGGAAAGGCTTTTGGGTGCAGGAGGCACCCAGCCACACACGAGCCAGCAGCGCGCCCTTGCAGCAAAGGCAGCCAACGGCCTGTGCAGCTGGAGGCATCAGGGGGTGCCCCGCAGGGCGTGGGGCCGGGCAGGTGGGGCGTGGGCGAGGCGGGGGCACAGCCACAGTCGGGCCGCGTGGGGTCGCTGCCGGTGCTTGGAAGTCCCCTTGCAGGGCCTGGAGTTAAACAGCATGGGCCCGAGGGAGCCTCAGAACAGCCACACTGGGTTTCCTCCATTCTCTTTAGTGGTCTCTTTTTAAGAACTTGTTGTACAGGTTTCTTCCTAAGCCCAAATCCAGGACCTCTGGTGCTGAGATGAAGTCCTGGCAATACAACAAATATCTGTGCTTGACACTCACTCTAGTGACACCTTGTGGAACCTTGCATCTTGCCAAAGGACTGAGTCACTGAGGAGTTTGCTGCACTAGCCAGCACTCTTGAAGGTCTGTCCTTGGTGCAGGAATCACTATTGTCTGTGTGAGCAGAGGTGCTGACTGCTGAGCAGAGGGCACAGCATCAGGACTTCCTCAAAGCCCCCCAAAGCCAGGAAGCAGGAGGTGGGCAAGAGGTAGGGATACGACATCACCAGGGTGGCGGACCCATACCAACCAAAGGGATATACCATACCATGTGATGTCACACTCAGTAATAAAAGGTGGGAAAGGGGTAGGAAATGGGGGAGCTCTCATTATGAAGACATCTGTCCTCCCAAACAACTGCTCTGAGTATTAAGGCCCTGCTTGCCAGGAGATGGCCAAGCATCACTTTGAGGGGAAGTAGAGAATAATTTTCTTTTCTCTCTGTGCTTCTGTGCGGCCCTTGCTTATTTTTCTCTCTTACTTTTCCCTTATATCAAATTTCTTTCTTCTCACCCTCTTCTGATGAGGGGGACTGAGAGTGGTTGTGGTGGAGCTCACCAAAGAACATAAGACAGACCACTTGTCAGGGCAAGGCACATGCTGCAGGTCCTGCTCCTGCTGAGATTCACTGGCAAGTTATCTGGAGATTTTCTGGGATTTGTTGTGCTTTTTCTTAGAAATGGACAACTCTATTCATCAAACAACACGTTGATTCACTCCTACAGACTCACCACATGCTCACTGCCACATGCCAAAAGATATGGACAGCACAGCTCTGTACAGCACAGAAGAGCTCTGTGGCTGCTCAGGTGAACTGCCATGCAGATCCCAAACTTCTCCACAAAAAATCTCCTTCTGTTTCGGGACACCACAGGCAGTGAAGTGGATTAACTGCTTCATACGGTAAATTTATTGGAGAGAGGGAGTGACTTGCGGAAAACGGACTCCAGAATCAATAAGATTGTAAAGTAGGTATGTTTATTCAGGGCAGTATGGGGGATAGTCCCACCAAAGTCATGCGCACCTGACGTGACAACTTGCCTTGGTTATATGCAGTAAAGAGTTACATATACATGAAGTTTCACAATACGCCTATACATATTCATAACCTGTCCCCGCTTCATATTAAAATTAGATCCAAAGAATCATTTCCATTAAATCCTCCCATCTGCACTTGCACAGCGTGTCCTGGTGGTGGTCATTGGAGGTCATGGGGATGAAGGTTGATTACTCGTCCTCGTCACCACTAGTTGACCTCTTGTCTTTGCACAGACTCAGTTGCTCCTTGGCTCTTGTCCATCCACAAGACCAGTTTTGCCAGTTTCTTAAGATACGCTTACACTCTTATTAAGAGACTGACCTTGGTAAGGGGCCCAAGGCTTCTTGCTTTAGTTAATTTGCACAATGCAGCATAGTTAGTAAAGACACTACGTAGCATCCTAGTTTAATGCTGTCAGTGCTGTATCTCTACTTGAAAAGATTCTTCTAACTCCCTCTCTCAGGAGAAAGTTAACACTGCCTGGTGGGTATGAAAGGAACAGTAGGGGTCTGCAGGGCTTAGAGAGTCATTCCTTTGGGTGTCTGAGAATTCCACATTTGAGGTGTGCTGAGGGAGGTATGGGGGAAGACAACGCAACTAGCCAGGTACAGAAAAGCCAGACAAGGTGTTAGGGGTGGTGATAGAGGGGGCCCGAGCATCAGGGAAGCAGAAACTCCCAGGGATGTGGCCCTGGGTGGGTGCCCCATGTGGCCCATCATTGTGAGTGCACGTGACCCACTGAACCCACACCTATTTCTCTGCTGACTCCCCACCCTTTACCCTATGGAACAGCTGGTCCTTGTCCCCTCTGGGCTTGTGGCATCCCACACCCCACTGGAGACAGGTTCCTCTTGCAAATGCTACGTTATCCCACCAGACAGCACACGGCCAGAGCTCCTTAGCTGCTGCATAGCATGGTTCCTTCCTTCTTTCTGGGGATGTGGGAGAGAAATCAAAGTGTCTTCTGCTCCCAGAGGAAATAGGAACATCCCAAAGGAGCTGAGGTGAAGGTGCACAAGTTTGGTGGGGAAGAAAAGGCAGTTGGAGCTGAGGAGGTGAGGATCCCACTGGGAGAGGAGATGAGAGCAGCCCCTGCACATGATGTGGCCTCCACAGCTTCCAGGACCCCTGACTGTGACAATCCTCAATGGTTGCTCCTGCTGAAGGAGAGAGAAGCCCCAGGGAGCATTCTGGGCACAGTCAGACCAGAATATATCTTGTCACTGAATCTCCCCAGGTGTCACATCCGGCAGCTCTGTTCTCTTGGGGCTGGGAGGTGCTTTTCTGACTCTCTCTCCCACAGCAAACAGGAGGGTCGGTCTCAGCATGCAGCGTGGGTATCTCATCCTCACTGCCTTTCTGGGGCAACTGCTGGGTAAGTGCTGGCTTTTAATCAAGACATAAATCTTCTTTCCCCAGGAAGCCCTCGTCAGCCTTACCACATTTATGTGGGGAACAAATCTTGAATCACAGGGAAATGTCTCTGCAGCCCCTCATTTTTCCTTTCCTATAGAATAAGCCAGACTGTGTCCAAGTGGACTCATTACCAGGGTGTCCACTCTGTCTTCTGCCTGATGTGTTCCTGCCATGGCCTCCAAAATCATTCCCTCCCTGCTCATCAGCACAGCCAGGGCTCCCTCCTGCCACCACTCACCTCAGCTTTGTTTGTACTGATGGGACTTGGAGGCCCCTGAGATGACAGGATCGAGGAAGCAGGTTGAACCTTTTCTCCATAGCTGCGTGGGCCCCTCAACCTGCTGGAGGGTACTGGTCCCAGCACACAAAGCCAGGCGTGACAGGCCGTGCCCTGGTCCTCTGGGCAGAAGGACAGCAGGCAGGAGGAGCAGGCACACAGCACAGCTCTCCTCAGGGTCTGCTCTGGCCAGGGAGCTCTGCCCCCAGACCACCTTGCACTGCTCCAGCCTTGTGACATTTCAGCCCAGTAAAGGACAGGGAGACTTATCTCCCATAGGTCTGAATTCACTCCTGTTTGGATGCCTCAAGGCTTCCTTTTAGAGCTACTGAACTTCTCTTTCTTCCAGAAACCACGGGGCAGGTGTCCGTCACCCAGGAAGAAGGACAAGTCTCCGTGAAGCAGGGAAACACCTTCCAGACCAATTGCACATATGAAACCTCCAGATTTTATGGCTTGCTCTGGTACGAGCAGAAGAAGGGACAAGCCCCTCAACTGATTTCTTATCAAGCAGGAGCAGGCACCAAGCAGAGGGACCGTTTCACCACGGAGCTGAACACTGAGGAGAAATCCAGTGTTCTGCGTCTGAAGGAAGTCAAGCTTTCTGACAGCGCCTTGTACCTCTGTGCTGTGAGTGACACCCTGGTGCAGGAAGCTGCCCTGGCTGTGCAACAACACCGGTGAGGGAAAGGATGTATCTGTGCAAGGCATAGGTCTGTGATGGGGCCCTCAGCTCTCCCCTTGCAGCACTGTTTCACATGTTCACTCCATGACCTGCCAGCCAGATCCTCTTTCCCAGACAGGCTGGTGTATGTGGCTGTGTGGAGATTGCTGATCCTGACTGGGTGACATGGACCACATGGTCCTTTCCTCCCTTCGCAGGCTGCCGGAATAGGACAGAGCCTGCTGGGAAACAGAACTCCCCTGGGGGATTGCTCTCAGCCCCTCAGCCCCAGGTTGAGTAAATTCCTGCCAGCCCATGATAAAGCTGCTTGCTTCAAGCCCTGTCCAGCCCAGCCCAGAGACCCCTAGAAGTAACTCTGACAGAGATTTGCAGGGTTCTTCCCTCTCTTCAATGAGTCAGTCAATAAAGTGCATTTGCACCCCAGCCACCAGGTTATCTCCAGACCTTCAGCCAGTTCATGTCCAAAGCCTGGACCAAAGAACAGGACCTTTGGGACTGAATACCTTCTTCTGAGCTTAACAGACCATTGTGGCTGGCACATCATCCTCTTTGTCATTATCTTCTCCTCATCTCTGAAGGCGATGGGGAATGGCCTCCGTTTGTCACTGTGGGGAGTGACCACCACCCGCTGAATACCCCAATTCACTTTTTACTCAGCACGCTCACCTTCTTGGAGAACTTGTACTCCACCACCATTGCTCCCCAAACACTGGAGACTTTCCATGTCATCAGGTGAACCATTTGTGTTTCCAGCTGCCTGGCATATATATTTTTTCCCCTTCTCCAGGGTATCACTGAGTTTCTCATTTTCACAATGTTGCTCTCTGATTGCCACACACGAGGCATTGCATTATACCTCAGTCATGAGAAAGAAACTCTGCTTCCTGCTCTCCTTCAGAGCATGGGTGCAGAGGGGGTACCAGGAACACCATTGCCTGTTTCTGCTCTGGTGCTGGGCCTCTTCTGAGCCTGGCCTGTGGGGCTATAATGCTGAGCAAGATCCTTGACTGTATCCACACACTTTCCCTGTTCCCTTGTTTTTCACTCACCACAAGGCATTTCCTGCTTATGCCTCCCACCCCATCACGGTTCCCATTCTCTAAGTACATATCTGTCAATATATATACTTTACTAAGCAGTGCATGGCAAGTGAGTTTGGGCACTGGAAAAGGCTCCCCATGGAAGTGATCACAGCAACAAGCCTGCTGGGGTTCAAGAAGCATTCGGACAACACTTGAGGACATGTGGTTTCATTTGCAGGTAATCCTGCATGAAGTTAGAGATGGACTTGATGACCTTTGTTTGTCTGTTATAGGATACCTAGCGTTCTGTTATTCTGTGGTTTTCAGAGGCAATGAGATGCTATGTGGACAATGTCTTTTTACCAAGACAAGACAAAATTAGGCAAGGCCAGGCACAGGCACACATGCAGCAGAGCTGGGGCAGGGCTATGCTAGGCCTGAGCTTATGCAGAGACCCTGGGCTAGGGCTCAGGCCAGAGCTGGGAGCCATGGTTATCCTGGAATTTGGTGGGCTTGGTTCTGATGCTTGTTGCCCTTGCACCACCACCTGAGCCAGCACTGCCTCCCAGAGAACCTGGCCTGGAGAGAGGTCCCCCCATCCTCACACCATGGAGCAATAGCCTCATCCTCCTTCCTGGACACAAGGCACTGGCAGCATGTACAGCCTGTGTGAAACTAAATCACCCCCACACCACAGGGCCCCGAGGTGTGCAGATGTGGGAACGCCCTCGCCTGGGTGTGGGGAGCAGTGGTGCTGCATGGAGAGAAAGAGGGCTATCCCCTAGACAATTATCCATTCCCATTTTATGCAATCCTTTGGGATCATCTTTGTCTGAGCCTCCATCCCCAGCACAGCTCCACCCAAATCAAGACAAACACTCTTCCCCATGAGCCAGGGCCTCCAATTTCATCATAATTTGTCTAGGCAGAGATGTCAAAAGTCAAGGACTGGTGGCTATTGGCTGTGGAGGAACTATGGATGTCTTCCTCACCTTCAAGATTCAGTGCCTGAAAGATGAATTGCTGCAGTATGTCACACCCTCCAGAGCCTAGAGGAATGAGGGAGTGCCCCCAGCCTATTCCCACTAAGGAATGGTTTTCTCCCTTGGCCATCAGTATCCAGATGAAAAGACCACACAGGGACACACTCAGGGTTGCTGCAAATGTTTATCAAGGCTCAGGGGGAAAAGGACGTGACTCCAAGAGGAGGCCCTGAGATCATAGCACAGCAGGAGCAGACAAAAATCTGTTCAGCTTTTCCAATGGCAGACTTGCAACAGGGAATCAATCTACCTGGCTCACATGGGGAGAGGAGCTAGCAGGTCTCTCCAGGCTGGTTTCTGAGGGCCTCATGCAAAGCAGAGGGCAAGAAAGCAAGGAAAGAAAAAGAGCGTGTGGAAAACAGGTTAGGTAGACATTGGCCATGTTGTCATAGACTCCGGGCTGGCCCCTTCCTGTCTGTCTTTACAGGACAAGACAGAGATGGTCAGGTCCTCTCAGAACAACAACATGAGGTCTCTTCTTCCATCCATTTTTGTCCAGCAGCATGTTCTGAGTTCCTGGGGTCCTGGTCTGGGGCACTGTCTGGCATCTTTAGCAGGGGCGGCACCTGCTGCCACAGTAGCGGCTGGTAATGCAGGAGAGGTCACAGCACCCGGAGTTGATGGGGACGCCGTCACAGCTGAGGATGCTGCCAACGGCAGCAGAGGTGGAGGATCCCACAACGGTGTTCTGCGGGAAGGAGCTGAGGATGGGGCCAGGCAGGGTCACCACCACGGGAGAGGGCTCAATGACAATGGTGGAGTTCTGGCACTGCCTGACGCAGGGCTCGTTGCAGCTACTGGCCAGCGGCGTTGGGCCACAGGGCTGGCATGGCCGGCACTGGTCGTAGCAGGACATGTCTGGGGGCAGGAGGTTCACCTGGGAGAGAGGGCAGATAGGAAGCTCAACATGGAGATGCACGAGGAGCAGCCTGCCACCACACCCTAACAGATCCAAGGCACAGGCAGTACTGTGAGCTGGAGGCTGTGCAGGGATGTGCAAGGGCTTCTTGGCTGCATCCTGACAGGGCCCAAAAAGAGCCACCACAGCCAGGATACACCCTAGGCTCCAGCACAGGAGCCATCACACCAAAGGCCCAATCTTCCTCCATGACAAACCTTCTACCTCTTGACTCTCCCACAACCAGCAGTCCCAAGATTTGGCAGGACACGCAGCTGATAGCAGCTGAAAGGTCCAAGGAACTGAGTCCTCCTGTGGGAGAATGAGGGGGACAAGAAGGGGCTTCACACTCACCTGGTTCCCAACAAGAAGAAGGCCAGAGAAGTGGATGAGAGAGCACGGAGCTGGGCTGGCTTTTATAGTGGGCCTTAGCTGCCCCATGTCCAGAGGCATCCCTTGAAGCAGGGACTATTTTCTGACAAGCTGCTCTTGAATGCAAAACATCCCTGCTAATAATACAGGATGTGTGTTGCCTTCCTGTGATGCTGCTTTTCATTTCCTGCTTTATGCCCTTTCCCCAAAGAAGGCAACTCCTGAGTGGCAGGTAGGGAGGCCCAAGTATTTCCCGGAAACACATTTCAGTGTGGGCAGAAGACTGCTCAAGTGCTGGAAGAGTCCAGTAAAGGCAAATGTTTTCAGTCAGGGTGACTCCCTAGGGACTCTCTGGGGCTCTTTTGATTACAGGTGACCCAGCTCCTGCCTGTGACCCTAACCCTGCTGACACTGCCCTCAGGGAAAACCTACTGGCCTGTTTTGCCTTCTCCTGCTCTGACCCAGGGATGTCTGTAAAGGGGGAGAGGTTGTGCAGGGCCCTTTCTGGATCACAAAAGAAAGGCCCAACAGGACAGTGTCTGATTTAGTTAGAAGGAATAACAAGATGAATGTACACAGAAAGGAAACCTTACATCTGCAGGTGATCCTGCCTTCTACCAGCATTGGACAGAGACACTTTGTGTCTTTTCCCGAGACACACAATGCAGATCTTGCCCATAGGGAATTCTTTTTTCACTCCCATAACTTGATGCCTTTCATTTATTGTTTTAAAAAATAAATAAAATCATCCACCTTCTCCTTACATGATGCAAGCTTATTTCTGTCATGACACCCACCAGTGATCAGTCGGGGCACTCCAGCACTTTCCTTACCACTGCTACTCAGCCTAACAAATGGAATTCTCAGGCATTAAGTGCAAGGCCCAAGAAAGCTTTCATTATCTTGTCAAGAGCCCTGGCTCCGGTTCCTTCTGCAAGGCTCCCAGTCCACCTCCCCTCTCTACCACGTCAAACTATGTACTTGGACCAAATGCTGTCCAGAATCTTTGCTGCACACTGTGTCACGTTCATGCACATGTTCCTCCCTTGTGGGTACTTGCCTGTACTGGGGCTGCCTGGGACAGACTCAGCATTCCCCACAGCAGTCCCTAGAGTGCTGTGCTCTGCACTTGGAGCAAGAACAGCATTGCCATCACACCAACATTGGGGCTATAGTGGAGCAGTGGTGACACAGCATCAAGACTCTCTCCAAGCCCCAAAAGGCAGGAGGTGGGGGGTGGGCACGAGGTTGGGAGCGGACATCACCAGGGCCGCTGACCTAAACCAACCAAAGGGATGTTCCGTACTGGATGATGTCACACTCAGCAGTAAAGATGTGAAAGGGGAATGAAAACCAGGGGTGGGCATACTGAGTCAGTGCTTCCAAAGACTTCGACGAACATCACTTGCTGATGGGAAGTGGAGTATAATTTTCTCTCAATTTGTTTCCAAATACCCTTCACTCTTTAGTTTTATAATTTTTCTTTCTTTTTCATTTAATTATATTATACCTATCTACACTTGTAAGCCCTTTAGCTTAAATCACATTCTGTGCGCACATCTTGCTTTCAGCAGGGGGTGTGAGAGAGCTGTGTTGTGGAGTTTAGTTGGCAAGAAGAGAGGAAGAAGGAACCTGAGAACAGCTGAACAATCACAAAACAAAAATAGCCCAGAAGTGCCCACAGCACACATGCTGAAATGTGTCCTTCTGTATCTGTATACCACTGCCTCACGAACCGAGGAAGTTCATTGCCAATTTCAGTCCCCAACAAGGATTGGCCCACAACAGTTTGGATCCTTTCTTTAATTCTGTACCACAGGATTCAGAGTGAAAGAGCATGGTGGCAGTCACCCCTCCCTGCCGCTCCAGGCCAGGACACATATGCACTCCACATGGCTAGAGAGTTCAAAAGGATGGTGTTGGCTTTATGGACAAGGAGAAAGGCTGAGAAATCCTGCCCTCTTCGAGCAGGCCCAGCCCTGCGTGGATCTGCTGCTGGTGCCTTGTCAGTGGTGCGTGGGGTGGGACAGAGGTCCCCCATGGGGAAACCAATGCCACACATACATCTGTGACTCATGGGCCTGGTGCTGAGTCATGCAGGGTCTGAAACCTTGGGCAGAAGTGGCACTGAACCAGAGGAACATGGATCCTTGTGTTGCTGTGCTGTGGGAGGAAGGACAAACCCTGGGGGTGCCATACAAAAAGCCAAACAGACTTTTGCATTGTCTACTCCCACTTCACAAGAGTATGAAAAAGAAACAGAGCAGGACTCTGGAGATGAAGCATACTTATTCTAGGGCTAATGCGTGCAAGTTGAGAAATGGGTAGTTTTGGTTAGATACACGGAAGAAATATTTACTTTGAAGGTGATCAAGTACTGGAGCATATTGCCAAAGAGATGCTACTGGAGCTCCATCCTTGGAAGAATTCACACTTTGCCTGGACTTGATCCTTAGCAACCTGATCTGATGAGACCCACTCTGAAAACAGGGTTGGACTACGTGCGTGCTGGAGGTGCAGCCTGTGATCCTCTGGAGGGTTTCTCGGTTGACCTCTCATTAGGACTGCTCAGGAAGCATGGGGCAACATGCACAGTCACCACATATCAGCCTTGGAGGGATGCTGTTGACGGATCGCTGTTTCTGTTAATTCCCACGGTCACCCTTGATCACATACCGATATCATTCATGACATCAAAAGCGGGCGGTGGGAACAGCACTCATGCACACTGCTGCTCATGTCAAAAGATGCATGAATTCATGGGTGCACTCACAGAAACTCCTGGATGCACACTGAAGTATATTTGGGCACACACAAAGATAGTTGTGCACACAGTGAAGAAAGCAAATGCTGCTCTCCTGAACTTCAGGGTTCTGATTTTACTTTCTACTGCCTCTGAAGGAACATCCTGGCTTGCTGAGGCCCTCCTGTGTTTTACCTCCAGAAGATATCGAGTGGTGGAAGGCAATGAATCCTGAGCAGCAACTCTATCTCCTTCCCACAGGAGTGAGGGGAAAGTCTAGAGAGAGGTTTCTTTTGTTGCTGCTGGGTTTGTCTGAGAGCTGAGAGCTGCTGCTCTTCATTCTGGACTCGGATATCTACCTCTTGATCCAGACTGGGAATACACTCGTGATGGTGGTGCCCAACACGCCCTTGCATCCTCTTGTGTCGTTTGTCTTTGGAAACCTCTCATTCACTGACATGTGCCATGTCTTGGTCAGGATGCCTCTTTATGGACAATTTACTTTTCCAGCTGTGTGGTCTGGCTCCTCTTCCTCCACTAGCGGGCCTAAACTGGGATGTCCTCTTCTCACTCTTGGCCTATGATCAAGCTGCCACCCACCGCAGAACTGCAGTCTGGTGGGAGGCCTGTGGGCTGAGCTCCTGCTCCCCTCCTTGGCACAAGCGGCGCTCACCCTTCGTTTGCCCTGCTCTGACCCTACACAATCACAGCTTCTTCTGGGACTCGCTGTCAGTCATGCAGCTGCCTTCTGCAGAGAGCTTCTGGACTGCTGTGCTTCTTGAATACAACAGCACCACCAGTTTTCCTGTGCTCCTTGAGCTCCTGCAGGGTGCTCCTGGTCTCCCTCTGAATGTAGACATGTGAGGAGACACAAGACACTGTCTGCTCACTCTCACTTCCCTGCACTTGTATCATGCCGAGGGCTACGTTCCCTCCTCTACACCCACCCCGTTGCCAACTTCTCCCACAACAAAGTGGTGTCCATCTTCTCCAGGGCTGTGATGCCCCTGCTCCATGCACCCACCTACAGCCTAAAGATCGAGAAGGTGAAGGAAGCCATTCAAAACCTGAGAAACAGAGGGAGGTTGTTTCTTTGTTTCCCCTGCTGTGTTCGCTGTCTCTGCTTTCAGGGCCATGCTGTTTTCTCTACTCTCTTCTGCAATGCAGGTCTTGGGGAAGCTGCCATCACTGCTTCCACAGCAGCCCTCATTTTCTTTCTTACCTTTCAGCTCCTCCCTCCTTGTTTCCTACCCTAGAAGCAGCCGTTCAGCACCTGGGGGGGGGCCGAGAGAAAGAACAGCAGGAAGCTGGAAACAACACACAGGGATACAAACCTGACTGAGGGAGGCAGTGAGGAGACCAAATGTGGGCAGTCACATCACTTGCGTGGGGTACACGGGGCTGAGGCTCCTTCTCTGCTCTCCTCTATGCCTCCTCATCTCCTACCATGTTCACTGCCCTCCTCTCCCCTTCCCACTCCCAAAGGAGATGCCGTAGCAGAAGGGCAGCTGCTGTCTCCGCTCCCTCGCCCTTTCGCTCCCGCTCCATCTCCCACTCTCTCTCCCTCTGCCTCTCCTATCCCGGGCTGGGCTGCAGGACGGGCAGAGCCCCGCGGGCAGCAGCCGAAGCCCTGCCCGCCCACAGGCGCCCAGCACTCGCAGCCCGGGCCAGCCCCCGAGCGGCCCCGGGGCGGAGCTGGCGGCGCCGGGCGGCGGCGGCGGGGAGGAGGCGCCGCGGGCGGAGCAGAGCCGGGGCTGGCGGGGGCAGCGCGGCGCGGGCGGCGGAGCGGCGGGATGCGGCAGGGCCGGGCCGCAGGGCTGGCGGCGCTGGCCGCGGTGCTCCTGGGTGCGCGGGGCTGCCGGCGCCGGGGACGGGACGGGACGGGACGGGACGGGACGGGACGGGACGGGGCTGCCCTCGCTTCTGGCCCGCCGGCTTCTTACGGACCTCGCTCCCCTCTGGCCTCCCTCTGCAGCCATCCCGCCTGCCTCCAGCGAGCTCAGCCGGCCGTTGCCTCCCACCTTGCCTTGCTCCCTGCCTCCCTCCTCTCCTTTCGGCACACCCCCACTCATTGCTGCCTGCTTCCCTTCTCCTCCTGGCTCGGACTCTCCTCCCAAACAGCCCTGCTCCGACTTGGTCCCCTAATAACCAGTCCCAGTGAAATGCCTTTGTATGCTTTCTTCTGAGAAAAAGCTCGCATCAACTGTCAACTGTTTTCTCTCCTCACGCCCAGCGTGACATTTTTGGTGCAGCAAATACCTTCTCTGAGTTTTCTCCTGCTTTCTTTCTCGGCAGTGGCTGTGTGCAGAGCCCAGGTGCAGCAGGAGCCATGGGCACAGACCACCGATAGCACGGGCATCAACATCACCTGCTCACACCCGAACATCCAAATCACCGAGGTCATCTACTGGTACCGCCATCTCCCGGGCCAAGGACCCGCATTCCTCATGAGCGCTTTCAGTGGTTCCAGAGAACTGACGGACCTGCCGGGATGGCTCGTGGTGGCAGCAGACCGCCGGTCCAGCGCCCTGTGGCTCACCAAGCCCCGGCTTCGGGACGCGGCGGTGTATTACTGCGCCCTGAGAGCCACGGGGAGAGGAGCCGGGGCTGCGGCCGTGCAGGAACCGTGGCGGGCGGGGCCGGGCGTGTGTGGCGGGGGCGAGGCAGGGGCACAGCCCCCAGGGGGCGCTGCCGCTCCGCCCGCCAGGACCACCTCGTCCCGCAGCCGCGGGGGTTCCCCCGCCAGCCCGGCCCCTCCCAGGCACTTCGGTTCTGCTGAAAGGGTCTGGAGCCTGGGTGCAGCTGAACGGAGATGGCAGCAGCCTGGCAGAGGTGTGTGCAGGGAAGAGGCACTGAAACACAGCCCCTTTCTCCTGAGCCCTCCTTTTCCTCACTCTGCAACAATGTTCCTCAGTTTCTCCCAAATTCATGCCCAAACAAGGACCGAATCAGGACAGTTTGCATCCTTGGTTTAATTCAGGGTAACAATGTTTGGAGTGCCTCAGCGTGGCTGTCCATCGATGACCTTGGGATGTATAGGAGAAGCAGACTGCTGTGAGGTTCCTGATGGTGCCTGTCAGTCAGGGATTTCCACTCCTGGACACTGCCAGGTTCTTCTGGGAGTCAGTGCTGGAGACAGGCCTATCTCCTCAAACCTGTCTATAAAGGCCGGCCAGCATTGTCTCAGAAATGCATCGCAGAGGGGACAGATGCCCATACTGCCCATTTCTGGCTGTTTCTCCTGAAGGCAAAGGGGCAGCCTCACGTCTTATTTTAGAGCAAAGGTGTTTGCTCAGCATAGTGTGTGTCTCATCCAAGCTAAGCTGCCTTGTGCAAACGTAGAAGCGTATCCCAACCACAGTTTTGTCCATTTGCCAATGACACGCACCCAGAACTTCACCCAAGCATTATATACTGCTAACAGTGTCCTGGGGCATTTAAGGTAGGCAATAAACAGCAGAGCAATTAAGAAACCTATGTCTCCAGGAACTACCAGTCATGTTTTGGGTTGCAACATAGGCCAAGCCCTTCCAGGGCAATGGGCCATCCCAACAAAGCAGAAATGTTTGTCAGAGCTCTGCCTGGGTCTCTTTCCTGTGGTCTACCCCACACCTTAGCCCTGGCAGTGCCATACCTTCACCTGGGCTAAATTGGTTGCATTCTCTTGCAGCTGTGGCTGATTCCATTCCTCTGACACCAGGAAAGACAAAGGGTTTACCCCAGCACACCTTTGGCTCATCTCTCTTGCCTGCATGGTTGATTCCTTCTGGACATGATAAGGCTGTACCAAGCAGGGCCATAAGTGGATCCATAAGAAAACAGCTCTTTTTCCTTTATTGTCAGCTCTGGATGCATGGGGGATCATAGAATCATAGAATCATAGAATATCCTGAGTTGGAAGGGACCCTTAAGGATCATCAAGTCCAACTCTTGACACCGCACAGGTCTACCCAAGTTCAGACCATGTGACTAAGTGCACAGTCCAATCTCTTCTTAAATTCAGTCAGGCTCAGTGCAGTGACCACTTCCCTGGGGAGCCTGTTCCAGTGTGCAACCACCCTCGCCGTGAAGAACCCCCTCCTGATGTCAAGCCTAAACTTCCCCTGCCTCAGCTTAACCCCGTTCCCGCGGGTCCTGTCACTGGTGTTAATGGAGAAAAGGTCTCCTGCCTCTCGACACCCCCTTACGAGGAAGTTGTAGACTGCAATGAGGTCTCCCCTCAGCCTCCTCTTCTCCAGGCTGAACAGGCCCAGTGCCCTCAGCCGTTCCTCGTACGTCTTCCCCTCCAGGCCTTTCACCATCTTTGTAGCCCTCCTCTGGACACTGTCCAACAGTTTCATGTCCTTTTTATATTGTGGTGCCCAGAACTGCACACATTACTCGAGGTGAGGCCTCACCAGCGCAGAGTAGAGCAGGACAATCACCTCCCTTGACCTACTAGCAATGCCATGCTTGATGCACCCCAGGACACGGTTGGCCCTCCTGGCTGCCAGGGCACACTGCCGGCTCATATTCAACTTGCTGTCTACCACGACCCCCAGATCCCTCTCTTCTAGGCTGCTCTCCAGCGTCTCATCGCCCAGTCTGTACGTGCAGCCAGGGTTTCCCCGTCCCAGGTGCAGGACCCGGCACTTGCTCTTATTGAACTTCATGCGGTTGGTGATCGCCCAGCTCTCCAACCTATCCAGATCCCTCTGCAAGGCCTTTCCACCCTCATTCGAGTCCACAACTCCTCCAAGTTTGGTGTCATCAGCAAACTTGCTCAAAATACCTTCTATTCCTACATCCAGATCGTTTATAAAAATATTGAAAAGTACCGGCCCTAAAATGGAGCCTTGAGGGACCCCACTGGTGACCGCCCGCCAGCCTGACGCAGCCCCATTTACCCTAACCCTTTGGGCTCTGCCCGTTAACCAATTGCTCACCCATCGTATGATGTTTTTATTTAGCTGTATGGTGGACATTTTGTCCAGTAGGATCCTATGGGAAACCGTGTCAAAAGCCTTGCTGAAGTCCAAAAAAATCACATCAGCTGGTTTCCCTTGGTCCACCATACGGGTGATCTTATCATAAAAGGAAATCAGGTTAGTTAGGCAGGACCTACCCTTCACAAACCCATGCTGGCTGGGACCAATGATACATTGTGCTGTTAGACTTGATCAACTGGTGGGATACCACTGGTGACAAATATAGAAAATTACACCCGATGATTCTAACAGTTACAAATACAAAAGTTAGAATGATTTTTGCTACGGAGAGTTATGTTCTCCTTATCTACTTCTACAAAATCACAAGCAGTTCTTAAACACACACAGCCTTGACCAATATATACAAGCACAGTCTTTTGACTAGTATTTGGATGAATTTCAAAGTGGCAAACACCTTGCTCCATGTCAAAACATACATCCTGAGCATCATTTGTATTGCTTTCACAAATAAATCCTTGATCCCGGCTAACACATGATTTTAGATTTACAGACTGCCATTTCCCATTCTCCATCTGTGCCCATGTTCTATGCTCCAAAGGATAGAGCACTGTCTCCTCATGGTTTAATCCTAGTGCAGTGATCGGGTGGGTAACATAAACTGTGGCATTACGTATAGTAAGCACAAAGGCAGTAGCCATGTTAACAATGGGATCATAGGTAAAATTTACCAGAGTCCACCAAGACTGGAACTTCTTCTCAAAATCATTGGCATTGTCCCAAACAGTCTTTCGGACTTCAGCCGGAAACATGCCTTCACTTCCTTTCCTAATGATCAAGCCAGCTGTTGCCTGCAACCATAACTGTGCTTGCATACAACTAAGAGCTAAAGATACATTATCTTGAACCATACTAAGTGCATCTATTATTATTTTGTGGTCTTGGTCTTCAGCCTTTTCCCATCTCGGTAACACCTTTGAAACTTGCCATTGGCTAGTTCCCAATGCCAATAAGGATGATTGTAGGGGTTGTTTTAGTTTTGTCTGTGGCTAACTTAATTTCTTCCTCTATGGTTCTTTGGTGTGTTCACTCTTCCCCTAATTTTCACCATTCTGATGGTGTAAATAAATGGTTACCATTTTTTCGCCAGATGACCATAACTGCTAACTTTCCATTAATGCTTTTATCCTCTGTTGTTATGGCTTCGGTCCAAGGCCACTCACCATTCTCTATTATCATAGAGGCACCTTCTTGAATCACAATTACAACTATAAGCCATAGAAACAAAACAATTCTATCAACAAAATTTCTGCCAACTATATTACCAAATACTCCCGACCATAATGTCCTCATTTTGTTTGACTAAGCTTTAGTTTCATTTCACCGTCACCTGGCGTTACTTTCCAGGGGACTTCTGGAGGTTTCTTCACTCGGGAATGGTGGATCCAAGCGGCTTGTTCTCTAATCTTGATAGCACTATGAGTTGTCAGAAACACCTGATACGGTCCATTCCATTTTTCCTCTAAGGGTTGTCCTGAAAAAGTCTCTATATATACATAATCCCTGGTCTTAAAGGGGTGGATTGGTTGATCCAACCCTCTAGCCCTGGTCCCTAAAACAAATTTATGTACTTTATTTAATTGTTTCTGAAGTTCAGTTGTATAAGCATATAAATATTCTGGTTCTAACTGCGTTAGATCCTCTCCACTAAATAGACATTGATACGGCCTTCCATATAAGATTTCAAAGGGACTCAAATTCTCTTTTTTTCTAGGTTTAACTCTGATTCTAAGTAATGCTAAAGGGAGAGATTGAGGCTGTGACAAATTAGCTTCTTGTCCGATTTCAGCTATTTTTTGTTTAATTAAATGTTTCATTTTTTCTATCTGTCCACTTGCCTGCGGTCTATAAGGAGTATGTAGTTGCCAATCTATCTTTAGAATCTTACTTATCTGTTGTACCACTTGCGCACAAAAATGTGAACCTTTATCAGAAGACATTGCTACTGAAATCCCAAAGCATGGTATTATTTCATTTAACAAGACTTTAACCACTTCTCTTGCTTTGTTTGTTCGACAGGGAAAGGCTTTGGACCATCCTAAAAACATGTCAGTCAGAACCAGTAAATAACAATACCCCCCTTTTCTAGGGAGTTCTGAAAAATCAATTTGCCACTGTTGCCCCAGATAATTTCCTTTACCAATTATTCCAAATTTTATTCTATTCTTGGTATTGGGGTTATTGTATAAACAAATGCTACATTGTTGAGTTACTTGTTTTATTGTTGTATATAAATTTTGTCCCACTAATGTCTGACTCAGGCTCTTATGCAATGTGTCAGCTCCCCAATGTGTTTTATTGTGTTCCGTAAGAACTATGGGCCATGTCAAATTAGAGGGTATTATTACGTGGTTATCTTTTAAAAATACCCATCCATCTGGTTTCCTTTTACCTTTCAAACCTTCAATTAATTTTAGGTCTTCTTTTGCATAATTTGGCTTTGGTTCATGTATGTAGTTTGGATTTTACTGTCTGGTATCAAAGACAATGCCATCACTTCAGTTATTCAGTTGCCCGCTTAGCCTCCTGATCTGCCAATCAATTTCCAATTTCAAAATAGGCATTCCCCTTTTGATGTCCCCGACAATGCATGATAGCTATCTTTTCTGGTTGCTTTACAGCCTCTTACAATTTTTAAAATTTCTTCAGCATGTTTTATCTGTTTTCCTTGAGTGGTCAGCAATCCACGTTCTTTCCAAATTGCTCCATGAGCATGCACCACGCCAAATGCATATTTAGAATCTGTCCAAATATTTATTTTCCTTCCTGCTGCTAGTTCCAGTGCTCACGTAAGACAAATTATCTCTGCTTTCTGGGCGGACGTCCCAGGGGGTAATGGTTTGGACTCGATTACCTGTTGAGTGGTTGTAATGGCGTACCCTGCCTTACATTGTCCTTGTTTCACAAAGGTGCTTCCATCAGTATACCAAGATTCATCAGCATCTTCTAAAGGTTCTTCCTTAAGATCAGGTCGACTAGAATACACAGTCTCCATTGTTTCTATACAATCATGGGTTATGGATTCATCCAGAGTTCCGCTAAGGAAAGAAGCTGGATTTACGACATTAGTGACCACAATTTCCACACCATTTTGTTCTACTAATATTGCTTGATATTTTAAAAATCTTTGTGGCGAAAGACAATGGTTTCTTTTTTGTTCCAAAACTGCTGAGTCCATATGGGAGACTAATACTGTCATTTTCTGTCCCATTGTAAACTTCAGAGCTTCTTGTATATTGATAACAACAGCTGCAACAGCCCGAAAGCATCTGGGCCATCCTTTACTTACTTCATCTAATTGTTTAGAGAAGTAGGCTACTGCTCGTTTATAGGGACCCACTCTTTGTGCTAGTACTCCCAAAGCTATCCCTTGTCTCTCATGAGAGAACAACCAAAAGGGTTTTGAGAGATCCGGTAATCCCAAAGTCGGAGCGTGCATCAATTCTCGTTTAAGTTGTTTAAAGGCTTTTTGTGCTTCTCCAGTCCAGACTAACTTTGACTGATTACTCTTTATCAATTCATATAGAGGCTTTACCATTAGTCCATAATTATAAATCCAAAGGCGACACCAACCTGTCATTCCTGAAAAGGTTCATAGCTCCTTTACCGTTTGGGGTTCTGGAGTCTGGCAAAGGACTTCCTTATGTTCAGTTCCTAGTTCTCGTTGTCCTCCCGAACTTTCAAATCCCAAATAGGTCATGCTTTATTGAACCAGCTGGGGTTTCTGTTGAGAGACTCAATATCCATTTAAAC